AGAATGATAGAGGTCAATTTAAAATTGTTTAAGAATTTTGGTGCACGCATGCTCAATATAACATATTTTTTTAATGTAACACATATTATTACCATATTCAAATAGCAATATTTTTTTTCAATCAACTTTGACGAATAAACTTTTTTTTATCTATACAATGACTGTTTCCTTAAAGCAGTTTCAAATCTTGAGCGTAATTTCAATGATAAAATTAGGGTTGCCGAAGACCCCTATTTTTTTATTCAGTCTTGTGATCATGGGTTATACAATGAGGAATTTCATTATCCTCCTCCACACACCTCTTCATTCAATAGTCACATATTAAATAATGATTGCACTAAACAAATGCAGTTTCCTTAATATCAGTGATTTAGAAAAATGGACTAATATAACTGCCTGTGTGTTTCCTTTATTTAATGCCACTTAATTTTTTTTTTTTTTTGAGGGGGGGGGGCATTTAACATTTTGCTTACCTACCCACCAATATATGTCCATCATTTAAAACAAAAATGTACAGAAACATGTAGACAACTGATTAAAGAATAAACAATTATTTATAATCATGCTTAGAACTAAGTGGATAAAATGTTGGGTAATTTCTCTGATAATTTGTATTATTTTTAATATTTGTTTGCATAATAAATAAAATAAATCAATTAATGCTAAAAATAATTTATTCAAATTTGACACCCTCTCTTCTGTGTCTTTTCTGTTGAAAGAAAGGTTTGTGTAGAGATATTTGACTTTTCTTTTAAATAAAAATAAATATTTCTAAAATTAATAAAACATGACAAATAAATTTGTTTACATCAAAACTTTAAACTGTTGTGAGTTAGTCAAGTGTTGTGAGTTAGTCAAGTGTTGTGATCAAAAAAGTGCTTGAACAACAAATTGCTTAAAAGAATTTGGTTAATCGAATCAGGTTATAATAAAGTGTTGCCATGAAAAAAAAAATATATGTTTTATTGAGTATGTACATCATTTGAAGGGTTAGAATTTGGAAAATTGTATTTTGGTATCCTTTATCTTTCTACAATATTCCCATTTCATCCTCAGGTAGTGTGGCTGAAATATTTTGTGCCACTATTTGTTAAACACTGTATACAATATAATTTTTTTTATATACATTTAATAACAATATGTCATTATATTCAAAAATATTAATTCACAAATTTAATTTGATGTTATGTATATATTTTAGAAGAACCAATTTTACCGTATGAATCTGTTATTAAGAAAACATTAAACTACAGTCGCCCGGTCATTGTAGTTGGAATTTACAAAGACAAAATAAATGATCATCTAATATCAGAATATCCAGAAGAGTTTGGATCATGTGTACCTCGTAATTACTTATAAATTATTAGATATTGATTATACACATTTTAAAATGGTTTGCACATTCCATAGACACATCAAGAGAAATTCGGCACGGAGAAGTTGATGGTGTTCATTATCACTTTATTAAATCACGTGAACAAATGGAGCGTGATATCAAAGAACATTTATTTATTGAAGCTGGTCAGTTTAATGATAATTTATATGGAACATCTTTAGCTTCAGTCCAAGAAGTTGCTGAACAAGTATAATTAATATTATATTCCATATGTACCAATTCTCTTGACTTTATAATATTGTGTTATGTTTTATTCTAATTGTTTCCTTTAAATGTGTATAGAACAAACATTGCATTCTTGATGTAAGCTCCAATGCTATTAAACGTTTACAAGCAGCTGATCTGTATCCTATTACTATATTTATTAAAGCATCTTCTTTGGACTTTATAATGTAAGTAATAAGTATTTAAATATTTAATTTATTGATTTCAAATAAATAAATATGATGAATGTTTTTTTTTTTTTAATATTCAGGAAAATAAGTGATAAAATGACTGAAGACCGTGCAAAGAAAATTTATGACCAAGAAATGAAAGTTGAACAAGATTATAATGAATATTTAACAGGTAAACAGATTTAAATAACATTGAGTTATATTTTTCTTCAATAAATATGTTTTCATACATTTACAGCTATTATAAAAGGAGATTCGTTTGAAGACATTTTTGAAAAAGTAAAAAATGTTATTGATGAACATTCAGGACCTAATGTGTGGTTACCAAATAAAGATCTCACTATCTAAAATTAACATGCTAGAGAGTAGTGATTATTTTAACTGAAAAAAAAATGCATAAGTTTCTAATTATTTTAGAAACATTTAGGTATAGATTTTCAAAATTTGATAATTTATGCTACACCATATATTTTGCAAACAAAAAAAAATACAGGTAACATTTACAGGTCTTTTTAACCATATATAAAAGAAAAAAACCAATATTTTAATCCCCACGCATATAAAAAATGTTTATCAATTCTACTACTAAGGAACAGATATTTACATACTGAACTATAAATAGTTATATATTTTAATAGTATGTAGTAAGTTAAAACTTTAGTTGAAGTACCTAACTATTGTTTACGAAAAAGAAAAAAAATGCTTTAATGTTTCCTTTTATTCAATCTAATATAATGATTATCTTCCACTAGAAACTATAAAATATGTTTAGTTCTAAGAAAGTATTTTATGATTATCATATTTGAAACAATTTTATTTATCATTTTTAAACCCCTGGAAACTAAAAGCTTCCGAGTAATACATTTGCCAATATGTATTACATTGATTTATCTACAATATTTTTGATTCAATTGTTTACTGGTGAACCTTGAAAATTATTAAATTAACTCATGAACAACAATAATTATTATTTTTAAAAACTTTTAAGGTAAATTTCATATTTTGGGGAAATGAAAGAAGAAACTAATGACTTAGCAGTTGACAATGATCGTAAATCGTAAATATTTTGTAGATTCTGAACAAATTTTGTCTTTAAGGAAATTTTGAAATATAACAAATTATGTTGAAGAAATGTAAGCTTATATTAGTTTAGATTATTTTTAGGTAAACCAAGCTATAATTAGAATCGTTTTTTGAATTCAATGATTCATCATTGTCTTTAAATTTAAAGATATCATCGTCAGTCAAGTTATTTAATTCATTTTTTTTCGATCTACTAAATGAACATTTATAATATGCCCATACTCATGATCTTACTATTTTTATACTTAAAAAGCAATATCAAATTGATTTTCTCATTACTAATTTAATCTATTATTACTTTTCTAGTCCCAGAACAACAGTTTAAGTATGTTGGATGAAACCACATTGTATAATTAAAATTAACTTGATTCACGAGCTCTTATTTTCAGAATATGTCACGGATGATAGATACATTGGTTTTATTTATATACCACTATAAGTAAGTGTTCTTAAAAAGTAACAATGACTTCCCAGAGCCTTTAGACATGTGCTAAAATAAAAATGTTAATTTAAATATTCTAAATTCTAAAGTGCATTTCACGCCTAAATACTTTAAAACAGATAATAAATAATATATTTGTTTTTTAAATAAATTAATATTAAATTATTTAACTTATAACTTATAGATTAAGCTCGTTATTGTGTTTTTTTTTTAAATCAACAGTAATATTTTCTCAATGTTTTTTATTTTATTTTTGATCATTTGAGCTAAAAACTATTTAAAAATATACTAACTTACACTGATTTACACTTTTAAATTTTAAAAAACATTGTTGTAATAACAGTTAGGATCATGTCTTACTTATGGCGTTAAAGTGGTTAAAAGAGACTTAAATTGGCAATTTGTTTGATACTTTAAAATTAATTTTTTAATAGGTATTTCTAAAAACTAATAATTTATAATTTAATTATTGAGAAGGTAATAGGCATGTATTATTATTTTATTTATTTTACTTTTAGTAAATAACAAATGTTAAACAATACCTAAGATTTATATTTAACTAGGTTTCCTATCAAGATTTATTACTATTCTAGTCATTGTTAAACTGTTGAAGTAATTTATATTTAAATTTGTTATAATGTACTAATAAAATAATGGTTTATTATACAATTTTATATTTATAAGTTTGTAGGCAATATATGTATTAACATTCAAGTATAACTTATACTTTTTTTTAAACATTAAAATTATCTATGAAGAATATGTATCTTGAGGAAGTTACCTACTGTTTTTTTGTTCACTTTTCACATTCATTTACTATATAATATATTCCTGGTAAAGTAGTAACAGATGGCATTTGGACACATACTTGAGTTTCTCTACAACCAATCTGTCATTTGGTGTTTAATCTCATCTACCCTTCCAAACACGTGTCATGTAGACATGTACTCAAATTAACCACGTAAGTATCAGTTGTGTGTTTATTGTGGTATATAGACGTTTTTCCTCCAGTCCTCTACCCAGTTTTTAAGCAGGTCCGATGTTTCCTCCCTGAATCAATATATGTATAAATTTATTACTAAAACTGGTGTAGGTAGAACAAATAATATTTTGGAAGTGTAGAATAATACATTTACAACATAAGGTATTCCGTAACAATCATCTAAGTATAAAACATTTGTCGAAGACCTGAAGCTCTACAGATAAACAAACTCAAGACTCAAGTGCATCCATTCAATTTTTATTTTTGAATTTTATAATGAGAGCTTTTCATAATAATTTAGGTAATAATATATAAAAAAGTTATGTGAAAACATTTTAAATGAAGATGTTTTGAATTTTTAAAGTTATGTGAGCAATTTTCCAGAAATAAAAAAATTTTTAGTTAGGTATTTTTGATTTTTATTATTTAATTTTTTCATTGGAACTTTGTTACTTTGCCAGGCACCATCTTTTCCAACTTTTTCTCTAACATTGGTAGTTATGTATAAGGAAAACGACGGTGAAAAAAAACTAATAATAACCTAAAATTTCATAATTTTCGTATTTAATACGCATATTAATAGCTCCACATGAGTCAAAATATTTTGATAATGTTTTGATGTATATAAAATGCTTATTTTAACATTCAGTGAAAATTGCATGTATCTGCAATAATTTTTTTTGAGTTACACATCGATTTTGATCTCCAGAATGCACCAACTAGATTCACTCTCACATATTGGAATAGATATTGAAATTGAAAAATCGAAGCATTACTTCAACTACTCATCGTGTACACAACCAAAAAAAAAATTATAGCTCTGCTCAAAATCTAAAAGCTTTTTTCTTCAGTTTTAACAAACACTAAAAGCTAATATTTTAATTGCTCCATTAAATTCAGAGTAAAAAAAAACCATATGATTAAAAAAATGCATTAGCGAATAACGGCTTGGTGAAATAGAGGGAATTATACATGAGACTAATGATAAATAAAGTGTAGTAGGTATATACTTAATGCATAAATTAAGGTTTTAACATTTTCTACTGCAGTTAGCTTTTTCCTTATTTCTTAAAGTTTCATTGTAGTTGTTAAGTTGTTTTACAATAAAATGCATACTCATTGTAATGAAAATGAGTACAATATTTTTTATTAAATATGTATAATATGCTCTTCACAATCAACAAATGAAAAAAAATATTTCAAAACTTTAAATTAGATATGAATTATTTGAACCACCTATTTGAGATACGACGCAAGTCAATAAAAGGTAATTTTGAGAAAACAAAAAAAACTGTTTATGCTACTAGACACCAGTCATACCTATATGGTTATTACCATGACTAAATAGATAGGTATGATCACATCTTTACTGATACGCACATTCCCCTTCAGACCCAGCCATAACTCAGTTCTCGGCTTCTCATTGGCTATCCATATTATCAAATATCAAAAGTTTTTATCTATTTAGTCATGGTTATTACTTATTTCTATTTCATACTAATTATTTACATAACTATTACATTATAAATCTAAATTAACTTGGTTTCAAAAAGTCATCTTATATTTTATTCATCATAGTTTTCATAAGACTTATGTGACTTATTATTTTTCGTAATTTAACATAATTGTATAGAACTGACACATGTTCAAGGTTCAAAGTTTTTATAATTTTAATTTTGAATCCACAACCTCGATAGGTAGTTACTAATAATACATTTTAAAAATACAAGACAAAAAAAAATATTTATGATAACATTTTTGTTCAAGGAATGTTGTCATAAGGATTGAATCATTTGTTGCAAAATTACAAAATATTACTTATGTTATTATTATATAATTTTTTTTATAATTAAATGATTGGCATTGGTTACAAATGTTTTATTATTATTTATTTTACATAATGCAGTTAGTAGTCACTGCATACAAGTTGGTCTAACCCCCTCAAGGAGCGCCAATAGATGTTACACATCATAAAATCAAAATAACCTTAATCCGAATATTTTTTAACTAAAAATGAAAAACATTGATATGTTTTACAAAAATTATAATAGAAAAGTAATTTACCTGTTGTCAAGGTTAGAACTTTAACGTTTTATAGTTTTAAAAGATCAAATAACTCACCATTCTCAATCAATTCTTTCACAATATCTAAACCTCCAATTAATTGATCCTTGATATAAAGCACATATTTATTATTTTGTAAGATAATATAACATTATTTAGTATAGAAAACTTCAATTAATTTACCTGTGAAATGAATATGTCGGACAGTTGGAATATGTTTTAAATTTTCTCGAACAACTTGATCTTTTATTATATCTTATGTCCAAAATTTAGCACCAATTTCTTTAAGTAAATTTATACGGGATGTACTGAACTTACATTTTGGCTCAGACTTTGTTCCTTTCATAAAAAGCAAGACGGGAGCAGAATTTACCAATGTCTTCAGTCTCGAATTTTTGTCTTCTATCTTTCGATGTTTTGTCACCTACAGTTAGCTAAACATGTAAATAAACAATAAATAAAATATTTCTACAAATTAGCTATTGATAAATTTAAAAATACTAGTGCTTGGATATTTTTATTTAGCTGTATTTTACCATCTAATACATCAACTTGAACACCATTACGAAATAATATATTTTGGTACAACAAATACATTATATTTTTATGATATTTCAGCAAAATCATCACTTAAACATTTAACAATTTCAACGTTCTGAAATAATCAAATAATATTTTACTGGTTTTATTCGTACATATATTGTCATTAATTTTACTCGGTATTTGTCTTCTTAAACTAAATCTGCAAGAATGTTGTTCATGTGCTGGCATAACTCAGACCAATAGGCTTAAAAATGAACAACAGACAACCGATTGAACTGAAAATCACAAAATACTGTGTTCATTTTATTAAGTCTTCATAAAGAATTCCATAGATTTTTAATGAATAAAAAAGATCCCATAGTAATATATAATATATTGTGGTCTTATTTCCTCCCTTCTCTACCTACACCGGGCTATACCAAATGTCTAATAATTTTTACTTAACAATTTATATTATATGTTATATTTCATCACATTCACTAAAAAGAGTGTTTACCCATTGACTTATATAAATAAATTAATAATAGAACACGAAACAATGATAAGAAAAGTGTTCTCTTCTAAGCATAGACTTAAAGAGATAGACTGAACATTTAGGCCCGAGGACTGGGAGGCGTGGTCGTGTCAAACGGATTAAGAGAGATAGCACGAGTTTTATCATAAGAGTGAGAGAAATGTCCGCTGCTCCGAGGACAGCCAATTACATGGCTTTAATAGTGCCCGATCACGAGGACAATTGCACGCGTTATCATACCTAATGTTCCGTCTATTTCCATAAGTCTATGCTTCTAAGGGCCAGTTGTACAGTCTGTGATTAAACTCCGATTATGCTTAATCAGCTGATAACAGATATTTAACCGGCCAAACCACGATTTAAGATATATCTAAACATTCTAAACACATTTGTCGATTAGATGGCATTGTGTAAGACATTCTAAGAAAAAAATGCAAATTCATAGAAATCCGAGTATCATTTTGATTAGGTATACATCATCGAAATATTATATTTATAAATAGGCAATATTTATACAATGATAAGGTTATAAATGATTCAAATTTTATTGATATTTTCAATTTTGCTTATTTAAATATAACCATTGATTAAATATACATATAATATATTTAATCAATGATATAACTATACGTCTATCCAATATACATAAAGCGAGTTACTTATACCAAATACTATAGATTATCTATAGTATTTGCTTATACTTAAAGCATATGGAAAATATTGTTTTGTACTAGGGTATGCTAACTGACTATGCTTTAGATGTTAAACATCAAAAACATGTAGTGGGTTAAAAAATAAGTTTGTTTAAAGCACTCAAAGTAAGAAAATAAAATACCTTTTGACTTTTACATTATTTATGAATAATCATTTCTTATTTAATTATTTGTGGCATGAGTTATTTAGAATACAGAGCTTCTAGCAAAGTATTGCTTTGGTCGCAATGTTGTTGGTTGTGAAGAACACAATAAACATTTGACAAAAAGTACTTATTGTACTTTTTTTTATAACAATGCGTAGGTATGCATTTTGTTGTATGACATTCTAACTACAATAAAACTACAAAAAACAGGAAAATACTAAATACAGTAGAAAAGTATAAAAACTTTAATTTTTGTATAATTTATATACCTATATACTATGTTTTATTTGTCATTATTTATGTTATACATAATTTATCATATTTTGGCGTTGGTAAAGTAAAAGTTAGTATTTTGACTCGTAATCATTAAAGAATATTTTTAACTTTTCTAATACCAAAAACCTTTTGAATTTTGATTGTGTACTTAGGTGTACTTAAACACGTCCAGGTAATAAATAATAATTCATAATTCATGTTTGATTCAATTTCAAAAAATCAAAAAGCTCTAACATCATAATATAGAAAGTGGGAAAACGTAGCCTTCCTATTGAACGACCCGCTCCTGGTGTCAGAATAGCCTTGCTACTTTTGTCGGCCCATATTTTATTAATGAGTTTGGTCTCCTTATCTCCAGTCTTCATGGTGGCTATTATCATTTTATTATCATTTATTATCAATAATACCGCAGTAAATAATTTCAGCATTTTAGTTTTTGTATTTCGTTATTCGTTATTTTAGGCTGCAGTAGTGCAGTTTTCAGTGATTAGCACGTGCTTACGTCTTGTATTTATGTACACCTATGACTTGTGTATTATAAAATTAATATTATAATATTATATTCAAGAGTGTAGGTGAGTACTTAATGTATACATTATAATTACAAAACCTAAGAAAAGAGCATAATGATATTAAAAGTTATTTAAATATTTAATTGTTTGAACTAGTCATTTAAACAAAAGCAGTATTTCTTAAAATCATGGCAGCTCGTCCAGTCAAATCATATGGTAAAAAGAAGTATAATTTTAAGGACAGTCGTTTTAAACTTCAGCCAGACCTAAAAGGATTTTTATGCACATGCAATTACGGTGAAAAAGACTGTCAGAAAGAAGCGATAAATTTGTTAAGAGAATACAGTGAAGATAAAGACGTAAGTTTGTATTATTATGTACAATTCACACTGGTATGTTCGGTAACTATCATTACAACAATTTATATAAAAATTACCAAAAGAGAAAAGTTTCATGAATTTTTTCTCACATTATAATACTTACTATTTTTTTGTATTGATAAGACATTTGGCAAAATGAGTTATTGATCTTACAAATAATTTAATTGGTTATATTTCTATATTATCAAAATTTTATAAATTGAAGGTTTTAAATTTTGGTTTAAAGTTTGGGGGCTGTGGTGAATTGGATAATGTTGGCATGATGTTTGGCTATGGACTGAGGTAGATTGTGTAGTATTTTGGCTAATGATTCAGGCAAGTTGTAATTTGTTCAGTTGTGATATGTTTGGTATTTGGTGAGAATGTAATTTATTGTGACTTGGACACTTCAGGCGGTGCATTTGAGGTTCTTCATTGACCAACTGAGGGAGACTTGAGTGTATCTGATTCTCAGTCTTGTTAAGATAACTTCAAATATTATTTATTTCTTCATTCATGGACTGCTATTTGTATACCTTTTTTATCGTGTTATCGAAAACTGGGGGGGAAGAACTGATGTTGACATTGCTTCTAACCCAGTTCACATAGTTTATTGTGTAAAATTCATGGTACATACAAATACTGAAATACCTAATAATTTAGTTCATAGTTGTATATTTCTAGAAATTTTTCATTTTCAAATGTATTATAGAATTCTATTTTTATTCACTTATTACTAATTTATCTAATGTTATGTACCTATTAATTACTGTTACGTCTCAACTGTCGTCTATATATATATATCAACTTGGGAATGAATACTTATTGTATTTAGATATAATGTTTGTTTATTTCTCAATTTATTTAGTGCAAAATTCTTGCCCCCAAGTGTTGCATATCTCTAACCGTCTGACTGTCTCTTGTCGTCATCTCCCTTGTATATGATTTTGTCCTCAAGAGTGGTGATGGCGACTTTCCTGTTACATGTCGAATTTGGGTTGTGGCTAATTTAATAATCTGGTAGATTCATATCCTTTCCTCTTGGGTTTTGAATCTTTTCTGCGAGGAGATGGGCGACAACACTTTTATAGTTTGATTAAGTTAATACATTATTTGCTACGCTTCTATCACTGTCCAATGACCATGCTTTTAATACTAATAGCTTAATTAGTTTAGTTGTTACACCATTCGTAAATGTGTGATATCTTATTCATATTTTATAGGTACTTAACATTACCAATTAGTAAAAATAAAATAAATTAATAATGAGATAATAAGACAGTTGATTAATAGTATAGGAACTACTTAGGTGACTTAGTAGGTTGTATTTTGATTCTGAATCAAGTTTTGAAGTTAAGTGCAGTATGTTAGTTGGTAATTATCAGTGCTTGGAAAATCCTTTAAAAAAGAAATAAGTTAACATTCAGCATAGGCGGACATTTGGTTGAATTTGTAGGGAGGCTAGAATAATTGTTTCTAATTATCTAAATAATTAAAATTACCAACCTTCAAATGATCGATTTTGGAGTTTAAAATACTAAGAATTTATATTTTTGGATTTTTTTTTAAGATATGTTACAACGTAAAACCTACAGTTAAGTTTTATGTGGTTTATTAAATATAAAAAATAAGTAAAGAAGATAGGTAAATTAAGATTTTGCCAACGCGTTAAGCATGAAAATATCATCGTTATTAATTTCTAAAACAAAATTCCTTGGGAAGCAAACTAAATTCGTTCCCAAAGTTTAAATGCGTTATGCTTATACCGCTACTTTATTTTTCAAAAATCGGCCTTTTAAGCGCTCCAGGCGGACAATGCCTGCCCTAAATCCCGTCAAATAACGATCCACTTTCAGACGCCGAGCGTCCTGTGTGTGTACCATGTACAAGTGGTCCGTAATTATCGCATCCGCCAGAATGCGTGGCAGACAATAGTGAATCACTATCACGATTTAAAATATACATGTTACTTACGAAGTTACAAAGCGGCATTATTTATGAAGCCCATGTTTATCCTCGATTACGGCCTGTCTGCGAGACGCACAACTAGCGGCTAGCGCCCAAGTGGAAATTAGTGTAGTTGAGCAATGTATATTTTCATAATATATATATAATTGTGCAGACTGATGGCGCTAGTTGTACTTCTTCCTATGGCCAACAGCTGATTTTTGGTGATAAACCGCGAGCATCATTCTGAAAACCAATTTCTATGCGGCGTTGAGTAACCTATGTATGGTTATGCTCGATTAAATTAAATAATTATACTATTATCTTATCACTTTTGAGTTTTGGTTGATAGTGAATACTAAGTTGCATATTAGCATGATTAATTCAATTTACAGAATAATTTGCAATATTAAATTAGTCTTTGTTTTTAAACTAATGAAGTATCATCACTAAACCTTACTCGTATAGAATAATTCATTATATAAAACTGAAACATTCATGTGTATGTTATTTTAAATATGCAACCAGTCATTTTTTTCTATTAAATTGATTACTTGCTTTATGGCATTTTATTTACCATTTGAAAATAACAAGATGTCTACTAAATCAGTATTTGTTACTGTCGGTACCACTAAATTTAATGAACTAATTGATTCTGTCACTGACCATCGTACACTCAAAGCTCTGAAATGTAATGGCTATACATCAATGATACTTCAAATAGGAAACGGTACATTTAGCCCTGAACCTTCTGATGTAATGGAAATCTCAAGTTATACATTTAAACCAGACATTGGGGCTGATATGATTAATAGTGATCTAGTAATAAGTCACGGAGGAGCTGGTTCCATAATGCAAGCATTGGACTATGGTAAACCTTTGTTAGTGGTAGTCAATGAAAAGTTGATGGACAACCATCAATACGAATTGGCAGAAAAATTATGCGAAGAAAAACGATTATACTATACAACTTGTGAAAACTTATGTAACTGTATTGAAAATTTAGATTTCAGCTTATTAAATTCAGTAAAAATTGATAATTCAAAAAAAATATGTAAACAAATTGAATGTTTTTTAAAAATATAAATACTTGTCTGCAAATTGTGTTATATTTTGTTGATATGTCCATAGATAAACTCCCAATTTCAAAATAGAAACAATATTAACCATATTATAATTTTTTCAGATCAGTGCTAGTTTTATGAATAACAACTAACGGGATAATTAATTTGTCTTCCTTTGGTTTTAGTTCCTCAAATATATATTAAACTTGGCCTTGCTTATTCATATATAAATTATTTTTTTATAATAAGTTATAATACATTTATATATTAAATATTATTGATTCTTATTAAAAAATTATCCAATTTTAATTTATAATTTGTTGAATTATTGATATTTTAGTTTGTTATTAAAAATAGTGTATGTATTCTTTACCAACATTTAAAATTAAACTCTTTGTTTTAAGAACGATGGTGCAATCAGAATTTGTTGCTAGGACTTCCAGAAATATCATACTTAAATCTAAAAGTTAATGTTTAAAAAAAAAATATTTTCATTAATTACACTTTTTATGAATTAAATGATGGTACAATCAGAATTCATATATCATGATTATTTTAGAAGTCATAGGTAAAATAACTGAGAATAATTACAAATTAAACAATATCCTATGATTATTGTTAATTGTTATGTATTATACATACCGGCTTCGGTCAGAAAACTCGAGAACCTTTGGGCCTCTGGCTAACATATTAGGTGGGAAAGTAAGGGTATAAAATAGGTAATAACTCCTTATATCTACTGGCTCCGAGGATAGAAATAGATCACCTATGAGGGGAGAAACCCATCCGGGATTTGGGGGGAAGGGTTGGGTAAGTGTAAACCTTAACTTACATAACAGGTAACCTAATGGTGACCTAACCCATAGTTTGACAAATATAGTCACTCACTACAACTATTGGCTTCTGTAAGGATTCAGTTAACACTACAAATACCAATTGTTAAAATTAGTTTAATAATAATTAAAAAAAATTTGGTTAATCCAATACTTAAAAATATTAAGTAATATATTTATTTCATCAATCATTTTTAGTTATTCTCACTGCAACATTATTGTAGTGTCATAAAAAAATTAATAATTTAAAATCATATTTATTTATGGTTGCCCGCCGTCATGTGACGTATTAGTACTGACAACTATGGGCGCCGGCAGTCACAAAAGTAATATACAATTTGAAAACTAAAGATGATCGTCAGTGGTCATATGGCAGTCAATGTGTATCAACTTAATATTTATAAGAATAACCTCATTAATGTATATTAATGAAGGTATAAACAATTTTGAAACCTCATAATCTTTAAGCGTGTAAAAGTCGAATTGAACTTCATCAATATTTCTTAAAAGACTGGCCTAATTATTTTTGAGTTTTATTTTTATTGTATATCTTACCAATAAAGTCTGCATATGCCTATGTTAGTTACCACTAATCATGGATTATATTTCATAAAAATCATGACTCTTAAATTGACTTTAATTTAGAAATCATCCGAAGGTACTAGTAGTACCGTAGAGGAATCAGCAGATATTATGGATTCATTAGATACTGAATTGGAAAACTTGTCCAAAAAAGATAATGCTGATTGGAAAAAGTTCACTCCGTCAGTTACAGGTGTTGGAAACTGTCTTTTCATCAGCACCACAGTAAGTCATTTATATTGTTGTGTTAAATTAAACGAGCATATTAATAATATATTTTAATAAATTGCAAATTTAATGTTAGGTTGAAGATCCGTGTGACCTTATGTATAAAATACTTGAAGATATAGAAAAAACCAAAGTGCAGAAGACAAAATTTCTTTTGCGTATGCTTCCAATTTTGGTCACTTGTAAAGTAATGTAAAAACAAGCTTGTTTTGTTAAAGTATACTACAACATTGCTGTTTCTACGCATGTGTTTATAGGCAAACATTACATCTATAACATCAGCCTGTGCCATTATATTACCTAAATATTTTTCAACAGAACCAACAACATTTGCAATTATGTTCAAGTAAAAAAAAATATTTATATTTAAATCAAATTTTCCCACAAAACTTAAAATAATAATTAATTACATAAAATTAAATGGTGTATATTATAGTCACAGATATAACAATTCAGTGCCACGTGATAAAGTAATTGAAGAATTGGCCACTCAAGTAGTTAGTCTTGGACAGCATACTGTGGATTTATCTGGTGGAGCTAAAATGACTATCATTGTTGAGGTGGTGAAGTCTGTTTGCTGTCTGTCAGTAGTTAGAGATTATGGTCGCTTCTGCAAGTTCAATCTACTCTCTGTCTGTGGTCGACCTGAAAAAAGAACAGCAGAAGGTGAAAATGGTAAATATTATCCATAGAAATGTTCTATAAAAAATAATTTCTCCTGAAGAGGAATATTATAAAAAAACTAATTTTTATAGGAAATGTGTTATTATATTGGAACATTCAATAAATTAATAATATAAATTTAGGAGGTTTGAATGTTCGTTTTTGCAACATAATATTGAATATAACATGTTGATTAAATAAATATGAAATATTGTATCTACTATTATATATAATCAAACATTATTAAGAAATAAATTAATGAAATATTAATGTATTGTTTTTAAGGTGGCATTGAAGGCATTGAAAAAAGTTCTTCGCCTAAAGTTAAAAAACAAGAAGAAAATGATCAAGTAAAAGAAAATAGCAAAGCGGAAAATACTGAGAGTGAAACTAAAGAAGAAATTACCGAAATGTCTGAAAATTAAATAACTTCATTATCTATGTTAATTTACTTATTGAAAGGTATCAATAAGCTAATTTTGTTTATTAATGTCAAATCTAAATTTTTTTCTACAGTTACTATTTATTTTGTATGGTTAAATAGTATTTTCAGAAATTAAGAAGTATATAATATAAGTAAAACATTATTATTATTTCACAGTAAATATATTCACTATATTCTAGTGTATTGGGCTTTACTTTATTGTGTTGTTTTGTTCTGTGTATGTTACCTTCAACTAATTTTCTGACATTTTAAAATGTTAGTTTTTTAGGTTATGAAGTTCAATAATGAGTGAAATATCTGTATCACAAGTATATAGTGAAGTTGAATTAGTATTCATACTTTTTAAGCTTAGAACAAAAATTGTTGGCTAGATTATTAATCTATAATTATCATAGTTGTTGATTTAATTATTTTTTCAAATATGCCAATACTTATTATTCTATATTATCAGTATTTTAACTGTAAGATATTATTAAATAAAACTTTAAAAATATTTTAAATAAATTGAATACATAAATTATTTCTCATTGGTATTTAAGATAAATCTTGAACTAAAATTATTTCTAGACAAAGTAATGATCAAATTAATTATGGATGCTATGCAAAATGTATCATGTATTATAATAATGAATAATATAATTTATACTTTTAATTAGGATTGATTGTCAAGTAAATACTGAATAGTATATAAACGCTTTATTAGTACTCAACTATTTATAATAAATTATGCTTCAGAGTCAATGGTATGTAATATGGGGTTAAAGTGTAGCTTGAATAAACCGTCAAACTCTGAACACTTGGTATTAATTGCAATAGTTATTGGTAGTAGTGAAAAACTTTGACCAGCAGGAAATATCTACATAATCAGTTGAGTATTAATTATAAGAAAATAAACCTTTCGGTTTCATTTTAATTTACAAAAAGAAGTCATGAATTTTTTTAATTAATCTATCTATTTTTAATTTTTATTTTTGAATGCAAATTATTCATTTTGAAAACTTTATTTAAACATTTTTAATCCAGGCTTAGTCTTTATATATATATTATTAATGTTAAAGTCAATAACTTACTTTACTTTGAACTGGTAAAAATAATTTAAATTCTGCAGGTAATTCGTCTTCAGAATATAACCTATCGCTAAAATAAACACGTCTGACTCTGCAATTGGCATGCAACTGTACCCTCAAGGTTTCTACATATCCGGTTCCGTATGCACGTCTTGTGAAATCTGCTAGATTAAATTGTATCTGGTTCCAACCTTCATCCAGACGCATGGGCATTGTACAAATAAATGGTTTAACTCTAGTTGTTGATTGATAATTACTGGCACGAAATCTGCGTCTGATGTTCTTATCATCAAGAATCTGTAAGATTAAAATATTATAAACGTATAAATGAAATACTATTTGAATTTTAACTTTCTATCCCACCTGCACTTCAAAAGTGAAATATTTCTTCATGTTTTTGACAATCATAATAAGATATGGCAATTTGATACCTAGGGTTTTGGTTTTTTCGGCCGGACATGTAATGTATGTTGTACTGATATTTGTGCCAACAATGTCTAATACTAAAGATTGGATATCATTGTCAGTAATGCGTTTGATATGTCCATTTCTGACAGTCTTATCCCAGAGCTGTAAGGGCTTGCTTCCAATGCTGTAGAGTATAGACAGAAAACCACTTTGAAATGTATTTTTGAACATTTTACTGGGTATAAAGAACACGATTTTATCACTTGAGGAAGAGAAGTAAAGAAAGAGTAAATAGTTTGATCAATGTTTAGGCAAATAGGACTTAACTGTTGCTAAGGCAACATTTCGATAATATTCAGATGCGCTTCGTGCCTAGAATAAAAGAAAATAAACAGTGACTTTATACACGGTCACGAAATAGTATTGTAAAAATTGGACAAGAGATTGATTCTAAATGCCACTTAACGGTTTTTGATTTTCCTATACCTACAATAGTATTATTGTGTTACATTGGATTCGATACTCGTGTTAACGGATTATTGCATAGCCTAATCTACAGGAAGGTAATGTTTTGTTTTTTTCGAAGTGAAGCGGACTGTGATAAGTTATAACTGATAAATATAATTGTATTGCCTGTTGTGTTATGTACCAAGGTCGTGGTAACCCATCCGGTGCTGATATTTCGTTCTTATCTATCGTTAACGAACGCCTACGCGGTTTTGCTGCTGCAGAATCGAGTACACAGACTCACGACTATTCAGTTAGTCACTACTCAGTAACCGCCACTTAACGCACGACTCTCGTCAGACGCACACAGGCATACAGCTGCTGCTGTCGTCGCCTATCGTCCGTTGCGGGTTTGTCGTTCAGTTAAATTTCGTCCGGACGTCGACCGTGCGCGTTTGAGCCTGCCGCGACCCTTTGCGATCGACACCAATCCGTTCGTCATCGACGTCTGTGGTAGGTAAGTGTGAAAACCGTTATTGGGCACACCTCGCCAATACACGAAGTCGCGTTGCAGGATATGCGCGGACACGAAGTAGGGCAGTGCCTCGCCGTGTGCTACTTACCGCGCGTAACAGGTCCGAGCCATACGGAGTGCTGATAGCAAATGAGACGAAGATTTTCCTTTTGTTTTCACTGTCGCCCACCAAACGAGACCTTTAATTATTGTAACCAGTGACGTACGCTCAATGAGGGTTTAGGATGTTCAAACCCTTGGCTTTTTTCACCCTATAAATGTTTTATAGAACCTAATATATACTACGTCCATCGCATCCATTTGATATTTCTGTGTATACTGCTGACTGTAATGACAAGTATTATGCGTTTTTCTCTGTGTAGGCTGAGCAGATTACGTGCCACCGTTTTAGTGACAAGACAATGAAACGGTTAATAGTGATTATTCATGTCCTACTGGTTACTAGCTCTAGCGGTTTGGTGTACAAAGACTTTATTGATTTAGAAGAGCTTACAGATATTTTTGGTTTGTCACACTGCGTCGAAGGTAATTGTCTATGACCATTATTGGTTCTTCTGTATGTGTCTGCTGAGCTAAACGGCATTTGAAATTGTGGGAAATTATTCAATTTAACAATTGTGTGTTCAATGTTGCTTGTGTATCATCTCTTTTTTTTTTAATGAACCATTCTTTTGGTAATATTTTACAGTATTTATAACATTTTAAGTCTTGGTTTACAAATTTTACACTTGTTCATATTATCTTCATAATTTTTAATTTTACCCCATGTAAACCAAAAATCTGTTTATATTTTTGCTATAAATCATTAAATATTAGAAATAATGAATGGTTCAATATCAAAAAAATTGACTTGTATTTTGCGGTTTAAAATACACTGCAGGGAAATATATTTGATTTTATTATAAATTTTTTTTCAAATAATTTACATCTTAAATGTTGTGCACAAATTTACAAAATGTACCTGAATGTTGTTTAAGTATCTATTTACACTGTTCAGAAAGAGAATTATCCATGTGCCGACCAATAGTAGTTCTTTTGCGCATCTTCAAGTGACACCGTGCCATAGGGAAACCGGTTTTGGTATAAAGTTGACGCGGGGGTTGCACATAATCAGTATGTTCTCTTGCTAAACAGAGTATACCTATTTTGTTTTTCATGATCTGATCAGTACAACAAGCATATATTTTATAAACTTCTCAATTCACATCATCATTCAAATATTATTTGAAAGATAATTGTTTTGTATTGATTCTATTCCATCCAAAAAATTAGGGTGCTACTATGCTTATGCTTGATTTATTCTAAACATATGAGAGTTTAACAATTGTAAGCAAATATGTATAAAAGCCAATTAAGTATAAGGTTTAAAAGAATCATTTAATAATTGAAAATTAGATTTTAATTTGTGAAATTTTGAAGTTAAAAATTAAAAATTAAACGTGTATTATTACATAGTTTATTTAAGTACCTACCGTAATCTATTTATTTTAAACAGTCATAATTTAGGGAAGATAGGTTAAGTGCCTAATTAGCTTGATTTAATTTATAAGATACAACAATTAATGTAAACATGTAACGTGTACCTACTGTATATATATTGTATAAACTACGATCTAAATACATTGAATGTATTCTATGGTTTAATATTTTAAAACATTGTTTTATATTATTTATCATTGAAAAAATTATAAGCTATTATTTCATTAAATTGTATTGTAAAATTGTTGGTATTTTGTCATTAGCTTGTTTTTAACCAAATAGATACAATATTTCTCTATTCTTCTCAAATGTCAAATGTTTTCGAATTAATTATCCGATAATATTTGAATAATAATTATTCATATTAGAGTTGATTAATTTGAACTATCCCATTGATTTGTTTAAATATTGATAACTATAGATACTTTTGTATGTATTTATGTAGTAAATATTTAGTATTCATGCAATTCATTGTGTCCTTATATTATATTGTTTGACTTTGTTATAATAATTTTCTAAAATCTTAGGGATTGGATTAATCATTACAATGTTAAGTCCAATAATGAATTTTCTATCGTTCATTTTCAGTTTTGATATTAAACTTTGACTAATATGCAAAATTTGTCTATCTTATTTTAGAGACTAACTTATTGACCTCTTTATAGACATTTTGAATACAATTTGACTCTATTCTAGTTTAATGCTATTAGATTTATACCCTATGTATTAGTGCTAGGTATTTTGTATTACTGCTACTGTTAGATTTTGAGAAATATGACCTGATTTGTAATTAGAACTGTTGATCTAGATCTGTGAATGGTCTGAACAGACTGAAATTTGTTAGTTTAGTCAGAACGGATGGTTTTTAATCCAGTTTTATTCCGTCTTAAATATTTGTTTCTGTTCAACCTAGATTGAGTGAATAATTAGAGGTACATAGAGTATAATGTTTTTGTCTTTGTACCTTGTTTTGTACATTTAATATTTATTTGCAATATAATTCAGATATTGTTAGTTGTGTAATAAATACGTTTAGAGCAGTATTATGCTTTTGAGGTTAACATTTAATTAGGTATATTAATAAATGTTGTATTGATTAGGATACTGTACCAATAATTAAAATGTATTGTATCAACATATTGTTCTCTCCTTTAAGACCCTTATTCCGTATCTCCATCATACCTAAAATATAGAGAAAAATTACCAATTATCAAGTTCAAATAATAAAACTTATTAAGCTATAACTCATTTAAAGCAATAGTTAATACTAAAAAAATTCTTTCTATGATTGTAAACCTTGCTTTAAAATTAAAATATTTTTAAAAAAAAAAGTGGTATAGGTATTAGATCATAATACCAAACTTGGTATTATCAAAACAAACACACATAAGTTCTCCCTTATAAATTTGATTGTTAATTATTTTAATCTGAAGTAAGCAAACGGAGCTGTCATCGAAATGTAGAGAAAAATGTTTTCTTTATTGTAGTTAAAGAAGATAGATACAGTCGATACAGACAAACATAATAACTTTGTGTACATATAATATCTGTTGCTTTTCTGCTTAAAATATATTTATTGATATAACAACACTAACAATTAATTATTTATTATTGAGATATTTGTATTTTATTGCTTTTTTTAATCCAATTTAATGATATACCTAATAGCTAGACCCATTGTTAAGTATTATAGATTACTAATATTTTATTTTCAAATAGTATTGGTGAAAAAGTAAAACCATTTTTTATAATGTGGAATCTCGAACTCCAATAACTCTAAGTTTTAATATGTCCAATTTTATTTTGGTTCTTTGAGACCTATAGTTCACTTTATATAAAATTATTAAACATTTATAATGCTAAAAATAAGATATTGGGATTATAAAGTAAAAGTAGTATTACAGGTATGTGGAAAAAAAAACAGTTCAAAAATAAATTGAAGAGAATTGTTTTATTAAAAATAATTATTTATATTAATCACTAATGTTGAACTTACTTGTAGTAAGTATGTGGACAAAATAGTAAAGAAGTACAAATAAAGGGGGTAAAAGTAAATAAGATATTTTTTCTATCAGTGTCTATGTATAAACTGCGTTTAAGAACAGTTTAGACCAGAGGTATTCAAACTTTTTCATCCCACAGCTCCTTTAAGTTTTCACAAAATGTTGACGGCTCCCAAATTATAAATGACAAAAAAATCAATGTTTATATGATTGTAATTTATATTTTATAATTTATTTACCATATTACATATGTAAAATAAATTAAAGCTATATTTAGCGAATGATTGTTGTAGACAATTCAAAGTTTCCTAACCGGTGTGCCTCAATGATATTAGTAAACGTTTTTCGTAAAAATATTTATTGGTTTTCAATTATACTACGCGGCTCCCTTTGACTCCCGCAATGCCCCTGGGAGTCGTGACGCACAGTTTGAATACCTCTGGTTTAGACAGTTAAATCTATTATTAAGCATATATGTTGAAATTGTTTTACTAACATGTTTTATTTAAAAAAATCTATTTAATAGTATAAATAATAATAATGTATATATGTATATATTAAAAATGTAATCTTGAGTTTTTAAATGCTATTTTATGCATCCATATTAATTGTGTATGTTATATAACCATATTATAATGTTACAGGCTATCTGATGGCTGGTGCAATAGTATTAAATTCAGATAGAAATTCATATTCACAATTGAATGCATTGTTACAAAATGATTATTCAGCAGAAAACAGTACATCTATTGATAAAGACAAGACCCCTATGTGCCTTGTAAATGAGTTAGCAAGATTTAATAAGGTATCAATTATATATTTTAAAAGCCTCTTTATTTTTTGAGTGGTAGTATAAATGACTAATATATTTATTTGAATTCCAAACAGATCAAACATCAATACAAGCTAACTAATGAACAAGGACCGCCACACAAAAAAAAATTTACTGTTACTTTGCAGTTAGGAAATGAAGAGTACAATGCAGATGCAATGAGTATTAAAAAAGCTCAACATGCTGCGGCTGCTCTTGCTTTATCCAAAACTAGTTACAACCAACCACAAACTAAAATGAAATTAAAAGCTTCTGGTCATTATAGTAATACAATTTACACTGTTAAAAATAGTGTTTATAAAATAACTTATCATTTACTTTTACATTTTTTTATTTATAGATAATATTACTCCAACTGTGGAGCTTAATGCATTGGCTATGAAACGGGGAGAACAAACTGTTTATACAGTGGTTGAAACACCTCAATATTTACCAACACCACAACCTTCCAACCAGTTTAATAATTTCAGACCAGAAATGTATTCACACACAAGAACGACAGGAACTTATAATAACTTTAATAATATGGTGTAAGAACCGATTTTGATTTGACACAATATTTATAATATTTAGTAAATTAACATAATAATGATTTTAAATGCATCTGATTTCTTACAGTACTAGAGGCGGACCACGATGTATGCCATACGTACCAAATTTTTACAACACACGTTTCAATGTTCCACAGGTTACTTTTGTTACTAAAAATAAAACTGTCTTTAATATGAATACATTTAATCTATTTTTTATTTTTATAATATTATTTTAGGTTCCTCCTCCAAATAACTATATTAAGCCTGAAATCAAACCTGTAGGCATTTATAAGGTTAAACTCCAAATTGGTAAACATGAGTTTATTGGACACGGTAATACAAATCAAGCTGCAAGACATGATGCTGCATTAAAAGCATTAACACAAATTAAAAATGAAGAAAAAAATGAAAACATCAAAGAAGTTTTAAAATGTATATTTAAAATGTAATTAATACTTTTATGTTAATTAAACATTTTTATTATTATTTTAATAGCGGGTGATTCAAAATCAGTGATTTCACAAGTTTATGAAGTTGCTCTAAAAATGAAGTTACCTATCAAATTCGAAGTTTTAAAAGAAGATGGACTACCACATATGAAAACTTATATCACTAAATGTACAGTTGGCACTTACAATGCAACTGGTGAAGGAAACGGAAAAAAAGTAATATTTTTGTTCTTAAGTTTATTTTATTTACCTCAACTGACAATTTATGTTAGCAAATTTCTTATAAAACATAAATATTAATAAAGAAATTAGTATAAATATTTGATGTAGATATATATTAAATATTACTGCTAAATAATTTAATTTATTATGCATATATATTTAGATAAATTATAGTTGTATTATATTATAGATTTCAAAACGTCGTGCAGCAGAAAAAATGCTACAAACATTGAAAGAAGCAAATGAATCTCTTTTAGAAGATGATAATAGTTCTCCAACACTACCATTGCCAACAAAGAATCGTTATAAAATGCCTAGGAAAAAAAATAAGAATCTAATCAAAGAAACAAAACCAAACTCTGAAAATATTGAACCCGTGGATGTCAGTTTTAAAACGGAGGATACTGATCCAGTCGCTAAACTTTTTAAAATACAGGCAACAAAAAAAGAAAAAGAACCACTCTATGTTCTTAAGGAAGACATCATACACACAAATCGCAAAAAAGAATTTATTTTTGAAGTAAGTACATTCTTAGAAAAAACTTTTAGTTCATAATTGAAATGTTATGTCGATTTTAGGTTTCTGTTGGGCAGAGTTCTGCATTGGGCAAAGGACCTAATAAAAAAGATGCTAAACGTAATGCAGCTGAAAATCTATTAGTGGAAATGGGTTACGAGAGTGAACTTAAAAGACGTTCTATTAAAAATAATGATTTACCATTGGTAAATTTTAACGTTATGATGACTTATGTTTTATAGGATGACTACTAAGTAGTAACTAATTTTAAATTGGTTCATTTTAGGCAAGTCATGAAAACAAAGCAAATATTGACAGTCCACGAAAGAATGGACGGCAAATTGCTCCTGGAGTTTTACTTGTGTCACCTGACACATCAATAGCCAATAAACCTAGTCAAGGAAATGATGGAGTTCCTTTGGTGTCGGTTGCTAGTAACATGGCCAATGATTTCTCAGTCATTAATTTCCAGCCAACTAAACAGTTGGATTACTTTTCACAAATGTTAGGTTTTAAAGTGCAGTATTCTGAGTTTCCAAAGGTTAGTATTTCATTAAAATGTGTTTACTTTTTTTCTTAAAAATAAAGGTAGCCAGAAGTGGCATTGATTATAATTTTTAAAATAAATTCACTCATTAAAATTGGTTGATAATTATTAAATTACAATAAAGAGTTTTTCAGCCTATTGTATCATATTTATTCATATTGTTAACATACATATAGTATAATTACACAGTTGCCAAATTGTATCAGTCAACATAGGTATTTTATATTGACTAAATTATACTAAAGATCAAAACTATACAAAAATAAAGTTCTTACTATACCCTTTACATTTCTTAGAGTAGGATGTATTAAATTGTATAGTTAAAAATGTATAATAAATAAATCATTCTTGAATCTTTCATCGAATCGTTGGGAACTTAATTTAGATTTATAATCATGCTACATAAGTAATTTTTATCCTGCTTTCTATGGGTATTCCAGCCCAAAAAATGATCCCAGATTAAGATAATAAAAATTTAAAAAAAACTATCATTGTAAAACTGATACATTCCTTATTTTGTTCTGAATCTGAAATAAGTGTGAACGATTAATGTCCAATATTGAATAGCTAATAACTTTTATAATCATTCATAATGTAGATTAGTTGATTAGAAACTGGACAAAGTCTTATGACAGCATAAAAAAAAAGTTAATGACATACTGACAAAAACATATAATTATTACCATTTAATAAGTTGCATTCAGACTTGGGTAAAACATTTTATAAAGTATTTGGAATAAATACTCTAATACTTGTGAAAAATAGTATTCCGAATAAAATATTTTTTTAATACTTCAAAAGTTTTTAAAATACTATTAAGTTTTTGTTTTAAACATTAAACCAATGGAAAATTTAAAATTAGCAAAAACATTTAATTTAATTAATCTAAATTTAATATGATTCAAGTTGATAATACAAGTTGAATATTGCAAACACTCCTGTAAATTAAAAGTATTCAGAATACTTTGGAAAAAAACTATTTTGAACATATTCAAATACTACTCAAGACTGGTTGCATTTATAAAATTATTAATTATTAATTAATAGTTGTAACTTAAAAAAAAAATTTAAGGTTTTTAACAATTTAAACTGTTAAATATGTTACTTAATTTTAATTTTAAAATATCACCTTTGGAACAATTAATATTTTTATCTATATTATACCATAACCTAGTACTTTTATAAAACTATTTTATTAAACAATTATTGACTGATAATTTATTAGATCTATAAAAGTGTGCATTAAATATTAACACTATTGGCTATTGCAGTGATAAATTATGCCTGGCTATTAAATGTGCGATATTGAATCTATTTTCTTGTAACTTATAAAAATGGTAAATTTTTTATTTTTATTCTTATAATATTAATGTAATTTTAGGGGAACCACAAAGATTATCTGACATTAGTATCCCTTTCAACAATGCCCCCACAGATCTGCAAAGGATCTGGTTCTACTTTGGAAAATTCTCGGAACGCTGTGAGTATATCCTGGTTAATAGATAAATATAACAGATAGTTTTATTAAGAAATTGAATGGTAAACAATGACAAATATATTTCTGTTAGTTATTAATAATAGTAAAATGGTAATAGTCATAAATCTAATTCCAACAAAAAAATTACTTGAATATTAATTTATGATTTTGATTCATGTTTCTTAGGCCGCTCTGAATGCCATCAGTTCCTTGGTAAATCTTAATATTCAAACAAATCAGCAAACAGAACCAACACAAGGACCTGTAAATGGATTTTCTATTCAGCAAAATCATTACAATAGTAATCCTATAACTAGGCTTAGTTAATCATTTTCCTCCCTTGGATACATATTAGTTACGTGTATTTGTTTAGTTAACTGGTAAAAACGTAGTTCAATGATATTTGTTAAATTTATTATTTTAAAAAATATCGGTTTTGGTTGATTTTTTTATTTAAAAGTGAGTACTTTCAAAAATAAGTTTTTAATCATATTATTTAAAAAAAATTTAAACTACGTTTTGGCCACTTAAGTAAAAATAATTTAAATTGACTCGGACTTGAAAATTAAGCCTTTTTGTGTATTATTATAACACAATTACTTATCTGAGTATTCAATTTCTAAAATGTTCATAACTTATTTTCACATTATTAATTTTTTATTTATATTAATAATAAGAATTTTTAATTTTTAACTTTTTTTCATGCTTATTTTTGTTACAATTCTTATTTTTAGTTTTAACTTGAATCATATTGATTTATATAAGTATTTTCATTATACTTTACTTTTTTAATTTTCTAGTAGGTGTAATGTTCCAAGTATATTTTAAAATGCAAATTTGAATTGTTATCACTACGGTTATTACTTATTATGTATTTGTCTTTGAGTACTATATTTACTTAAGATAAGTACAGTAATATTACATTTTGTGTTTATTTTATTATGCATTATGGTCATTATGCTTGTATAATGTTTGTAAATCCTTTTTATTTTTTTAGTTTTGCTTTTAGTGAAAAATCATTAAAACATTTTTACAATTCAATGTATTTTATTTTTTATTGACATTCAAAATTAGTATTCACTTAGTATCTCCTATAGTGACTAAATGATGGACTGTGGTTTTTTATCTTTCTTTAAAAACAGCTCACTCAATATCATCATAAATTCTCATACCACACAATATTTTAAACTGAAGAAGTTGCATTGTTGTATAGTACGCTTTGAATATGCCTCTTCATTGAGTAGAGGTTATTTTAATGGATGTATGACATTCAATTTCAATGATAAAAAATCATTGCATTCAAAAAATGATTACGAGTGGAAACATTGTGTCTGCATTTATTTTTATATTATTTAGTACATGTTTATCACATTTTTCAGAAATGTTCACATGTTTCTATGATATAATATTACATTATTATTGTATATTAACTAATAAGTAGATAACTTATGTACTTGAGCACAAATAGGATCGTTGTGTAAATAACTTAAAATTAGTTCAAACATTTTTTTGTGTTAAGGTTATGACAATTTAAGTAATAATGGAATAGATTCTACAATTAATATTTTTTGAATTAGATACAAAAATCATGTAAAGCCAAATTGTTGATTTTTGGCCAATTTAAATGTATATTACATTACAGCATTACGGGCAGCGACAAATCATCTCATAGTGATGTAGTTAGGCTGTCTTGACGACAAAATACAACAATCTGTATATCTTTATATTTTACCATACTACTCTTCACTACTATTCCTACATATGTGTAAATCAGTAACTGAAAAGCGTCCTCCACCTTTGGCCACTTTCCATAAGTACACTATTTTCTTGTCTAGTTGTCTAGTAGTATAAGAGTTACACCTACTGAAAAGCCCCGCTGTGCCAATCTATCTAACAACAACTGTGCAAACTGCAAGCTACAGGGGTGCAATGTGTGGGGGATCTCGTCTTGGCGTTTATTTTTTTCCTGCTGTCGGAATAATGATATTTAGAAAACTTAAACAGATTGAAACATTAATGTTCTTAATGACTACATAAAAAAACATTACAATCATTTTTCCAGTTCTACCCTAGTAGGTACTCCATGGTACCAAATTTGAATAGGAAGATTACCTATCAATTTATTCATTTTGTCCAACTATGTTTACAAAAATGGAAAAACTACTGAAAAACAGTCTAAAAGAATTGTTAATACCTAAAAATTGGGGATCCATCCCCTATGCCCCAATTTGGACCTTATTTTACTTGTATTAGCTCCCCCGGTAATTTTTGAATTTTTTTTTCGGGAAACCCATGTATATTTCTACGAGTTAAGAACCAAGTTTCGAGGCTATAGCCGAATGAGGTTTTTGATTTTGGGATTCTCACGTAGCTCTTTTTGAGCTATAATAACTATTTTCGTATTTATTTTAGGGTAATGCGTGTAGGTACAACGTACAACGCAGGTCAGGTCGCGAAACTCGAGGTTCTGCGGACCTGTGGTAACCTTACCAGTTAAACATTTGAGTGTGAAAAGTAGTGGCTACGTGACTAGTATATTTCTTAAATAAATCAATTACATTTTTTTTTTATAGCAATTGAATTTGTTTTTACTTTATGACCTATTCCTGAAGTGGGTAATATACATAATATGATTTTTAAATAGTATAAAAAAATTCAAATTGTATGCGCTGTAAACTAGAGTGAAAAATAACGATTCCGGAAATTTATTTTTACACCATCATTTTTAAAACTTTAATTTATCAAGGTTTAAAAAAAAAATTGTTTAAATGTACATGGGTCATGGACGCTAAACTAGCTTTATTCCATTTTTGTACAGAAAAAAATTCAAAGATTGCAAAACTCATGTGAGTTATGGAGAGGGTGATAAATAATGGACAATACCGTTTGGGCTGTGGAGCAGGGGTAAGAGGCAAGAAACCTACATAATATAATGAATGGCGATAGCCGATAGGTAGGTAGCTAATAATAATAATAATTTTTTATATAAATTATCTTTATTGAAGTAGAGGAACCTGTAGCAAGAATTTGCAATAAAATACATCACTTTATATTATGTTGAAGTTGTGTGAGGCCCACCTACCTCCCATGGTACTGAGCGAATGACATAATGTTATGTTGCCATGTTGGTGCTTCAACTTAAATGTACTGGTCTTATTGTCTTAATAGCATAAAAGACCGTTTGTGTCTAACCTACTCGTAATGTGTTCACAACACAATGAAAGCATTTTTACATTTCCTGAAATCTCACAGAGGACTACGCCTCCTCAGCCCCCCCTCAACCGAGAAACGACAATGTCTAGTTTAGGTATAACTTCAGTAGTGCAGTGTAAGATGTAACTGCAGTAAGGTGACGGCGATAAATTACAGCTACATTATTGATAAAATAACAACCGTTTTAGTTATTATGGATACAACGAAATAGATGTTTTTCGTCGGATAAAATGATAGTCAACCGCAGCATCCGTTTGCCCAAAATGTTTTGGTTGAACCTATCCATATTTATCGTGACTACTGGTCAGTGGTGGATTTACCGGGACACGGTGTCGGCAGCGGAGACGGAGGTGGTTGCCGGACAAGATGAGTCGTTGTTTGACTTAGGCAGCGCAGCCAACGACCGATCGGATTTAAGGTACTTCCAACAACAAGTGAACAGTTTAATGACGGTCTCGTCCGTCGGTCAACCGATCGTCAGACACACGCTTGGCGTGGTGCCGAAACCTACCCCGTGGCGGTCCCGGCTGTCCGGCGGCTTTTTCAAACAGCCCCATCTGAATGCCATCGATAAAAAGGCCGCCGCTCGCCGTCGCGTCACGCACCGTCCAAAAGACGCCGCCACTGGCCGCGACGGTGTGGATGGCGTTACCGGCGACGACTTCACCGACGGCGGTGGTCCGAAGACTACGACGGCCGCCACTGCAGCCCGAATGCTGTTCGGCACCGAAAACGAATGCGTGTCGACCAATCCCGGGCGGGCTTGCGTGTGTTACATGACCGACTTTTTGGATCTGATCTGCCAACGTTTGAATGAGGCGGCGACTGCTGGCGACGTTGACAATGATGACGAGACGGTCGCGTTACCGTGTCCGTCGTTCAAGCCAGTGCCTGTGGCGTTTGTCATTTATCCCTCTACCGCGACAGACGGCGGTGGGACGAATACGGCTTCGACCGATGCCGCTGTCGTGCGCGTGGAACACTCGGCTGATGTGATAATTGAGCGAAGAAACGGCAGTAAAAGAAGAGGACGGGGCCGAGGTGGTGGCGGCGACGAAAAGGCTGTGGCACCGGCCCCCGTGTGGAAAGAAATAGATTTTGATAATGTTGTAAACTACCGACTGGAGAAGTCCTCGGATGGTAAGCACGGACGTAATCCCTGTGTATGTGTGTGGTAGTGGGTAGTGGGAGAGGTGTGGACGGTGGAAGTGTGGTTACCCCTTTACATTTTGTAATGGGGCAAAGATATTGTTTTCCTCCCCGTCTTAATCGCTAATCCAATGAATGTAACAACACATTTTTTTTTTAAAGCATTATCCTATGTATACAGTATACCTAATTTTATTAAGCTTGAACATTGTTTTTCTGTGCTTGTTGTTTGTTATGTGTAGAGGTCGGATTTATATTCTCTTAAAATCCTTAAAATATGATGTTTTTATGTCACATGAAATAGGCAATAGATTCTCTTCATATTCCTTTAAAATACCAAATATATGATGCTTTACGTCCTTAAATATGCAAAATATTCTTTTAATATTAAAAAAAAAATGCAGGTTAAATTTTTTTTTTTATTAAATTGGTTTTAAATACATTTGATTACATTAATTTTACAATAACAATTAATAACTATATATTGTTCGATGGATAGTCGTGAAGGCTAACGAAATAACCGATGTGCTAACGCAATCGATAAAGAAACCTGGAGATTAATTTTTATTAAAACCCAGAAATAAATCATTTAGTGAACATTGTATTTATCAGAGTGTTAATATACGGGAAATATGTTCATTATATGCCAGATATTACAAAAGTATTCTCAAACATTCTCTAACGTATTAAATATTTTCTAACCTCTAAAATATGTTTTTTTATGCAAAGTAAATTTTTTCCTGTGAATTCTGTGTTTCATGACTCGTTAAGATTTCTCACTCCCATTTAACTGCATAATAGACTAGAAACAAGTATGTAAAATCATAAAAATCCGACCTCTAGTTATGAGGTACTAATTAGTAATTACCTACTGATTTTCCATTAAATTATTTATAATGTAATTGGTAGGTAAGTGAAGTTCAGATATTATATTTTTAAATTTTTTTCTGAATTAAATAAGGCTGAAGGTTGATCTGAGTATCTGTCGATACCTCACCTTTTATGCACCACTGGCTAAATATGGTGATCAGCATTGTTAAATCATTGTGTAAGGTAAAAAAATACAGTAAATAATCTACTAAATATATACTTAATCATACAGTTAAACCTATACCTATACAGGAATAGGTACCATAGTTTATCTTTATTCCTTCCTCGTCATTTTCACAACTAATATTTAAATTTTGTAGACCCAATAATAGGGCTTATCTTGTATCCATGTATAATGTATATACCAAACATATCTTGTTTAGATCACTACGCAGTGCAATACAGTCTTGTCGGAGGCGACGCCAAAGTCCCATGTTTGATCAACGGCAACGGAACAAGAATGAATTCATTCAAATGGGATTTTAAAAAGAGCAAACATAAAACGAGTAAATATGTATAAGACTATCGGCACAATTTGTATTGGTTAAACAATTGTTTCATATATTCTTACAATCGTATCTTTTGTGTTCAGATTCTACGATAACCGGCAACGACACGAATATTCTATTGATATTGGGCTTGGAACCAGGAGACAGCAATAATTACACTTGCATACCAACAACGGATGGGGTAGAAAACTCTAAAAATGTCACTTCTTACAAGCATTACGTTGTAGGTACAGAGTACATCATATTATTAATATTAATTTGACTAAAAAATATATTTATTTATTTATTAGTATTTTCAGTTTTATAAATTATAAATAATGTGAACGGGTGTAACAAACATATCTAACATAAGATATTACACTATTAGTTATTTACATCTGTCAGATCTTTCTGTTACACCCTGCGGCTTGCATATTATATTATGTATCTACTCATTCTACTCTGTACTTGTGATTTGTATAGACCCTAACAATTGTTATGCCTAAACTCAGATTTGGCTGGTGAGGTGGGTAGGTTAGAGATTATTATTTTCAATACCATCTAGAAAAATATACTATGTGGCACTGCTAACAACAGTGAACAAGTAAAGAACTGTGATTAGAATCCTAATTGCTTATAATGAGTATGTAAGTAATGTTATAGTCATTAATCATTACAAATTACTAACTTATAAAGTCGTACATCCGGGGTGATATAAAAACATTCTAAAAACGTTCCTCATCATCAGTACTAATAAATATCGTTTATAATAACTGCACTTGCATGTACCTATCAAAATTTGTAAAGCCGTCGAAAATGCCATTTACGAGATCCGAGGCTTAGCAATTTACAAGACCCGCGGTGGCGGTGGCTGTACGCATGAAATAATCGTTTCTGTGCAAAAACAGTTGCCCAGTTCCATACGTACCGAACTATGTCCCGAGGGATCGTCGCAGTACGCGTGCAACGTTGTCCTTGATCAACCAAAGTGTACCGAAGACAAAGTAATGCACTAAGTTTTATTGTATATATAAGTATACCACTATATCATGGTCGTCAGGTGAGTCCGTTAAATATATTTCTGTGACCGGGAGGGTTAATTGCCCTTGTCTACGTAACTGAGAGGAATATATTCTACCTTATTCTTTTAATCCAAATATTCAATATAAAAATATAACTAAAGAATAATAAACAATATTATTATTTTTAATTCATCATCACTTTTTATATTATCGAATATGTATCGATATTATTTTATATTTTTATCTGTCATCACCTCACGTTTATAATAAAATTTATGATTTATAAGATAATGGGATTTATTCATACCTACTCTTCTAAATTTAAGATACTCTCAAAGAACAATCACTATTTAGTATTTACTGCGTATTATAATACCATAAATACATGCATAAATATAAATTATAATAAATTGTAATAGGTATATAATGCAGAGGTGTTTCAAGGAATTTCCAAGAGGGGCAAGGAGTTGAGAGGGTCTTAAAATTGTTACTACAATGGTACTATGTCTACAACACAACCTCCCTACAATTGAGAATCTGGATGCTAATAAAATATGCACATAGATATTATTAAATATTATACTGCATGTGTATTGAATACGTTTTTGTAATTTAAAAATAGAGAACAATGGAAATAAAATATTTGGTAACGTTAAACGACAAGGCCAATTATTTGGCTCGGATCAGAACTAGCAAAAAAGGCCGAATTGCTCTGCGCTATCAAAAACTACTGGCGAGAATATCCAATGTTCTAGCTTCAAACCTTAACAAAATGTTGACAGTTCAAAGTGAATATACACACACACACACACACACTCCCGGACAGAAGTGGAATATTATTCGGAGTACTTATTGGCTATTTACGTCTATGAAAATCGAATTTGGGACAAGTAGTTAATTTGTTATAACTTAATAAGTACCTATTTGAAGTTCAGATAGGTGGGATAGTGGACAGGTACCCCTGTACAACTATATTCCTCTCGCATCAAACCTATAAATACTTTAAATAGCTTAAATATATCATAACTCATCAACACTACTTGTCGATTTTCATATAGTAATAGAAGTACTTCAAAAAATATTTTGCTTTAGAATAAACAATTAAAAATGCATATTGTTATTAAAAAGTGTAGCGATAAAAAATAGTAAAACTCAATTTTTAACATCTTAAAATTATCTAAAAAAATATTTTCAAAAATGTTAAAACTTATTGAAATAATGAATTTACGTTAAACGAATCACTCGGTATATAAAAATGACATACGATTTTGAAGTCTCCTAAGTCCTAATGCTGTGTTCTATCGTCTATACATTTTTAATTATCTATTTACTTGTTGTATGCACTCATATATTCACTGTTTTTCAGTAATGTCCAAGTTGTCATTGATTGACACACATTTTGAACCAGACAACAGCCGAATGAATATGAGAAATTTTGTTTCCTGTGCAGCAGGTTTCGGCATTCGGGAGGTGTTTTGCGCTGCTTGTCCGCCACACCATTACAGTCCGGATAAGTCTATTGAATGTTTGAAATGCGTCAAGGGTTTCCATCAGCCGGTTGCCGGATCGGAGAAGTGCGTAAGGTGTCGAAATATTTTTGCCAGTGGCTGTTATATGGTAGGTACCTATAATTATATAGCACTAGGTATACCTACTGAATATCCACCTCTCAATAATTATGTCCTCACGAAAATCTTTATTTTGATGCACTTGATCATCAAGAACATAATATTTAACTAATAAAACACAATTTTGTATTAATTCATTTATAATTTAAAATATAATCTTAGGTAAGTTACTATTAATGTTAATGATGGTTACAAAATAAAGGTAGAACATAATAAGTATATTATTAATTATTATTATATAGGTATTGAAAAAATGGTTTTTGGTAGGATATCCCATTTTGCCACCTCTAAAGGCTATTGTGCAATAAGAATTTGGAATACTAGGATTTATTTTTAACATAATACTTTGTTATTATTTAAATTATTTAAAAGTTATGTGTTCTTAATGCAAAGTTAATTTTTCCATTAACTTCCCCACTAGCCGCCTTCGACCTGTACAGTATGCATATTATAATAGGCTATAGGCTACAGCTATTTGTATTCAGGGGCGATCATAATGTTAATTTTTAGGGGATTTAGAATACATTTTTCAGACTTCCATAAACAAAATTTAAGGATTACCTAGCATTTTATAGTCTTCGGTCGTCGCCACTTAATGTAATCATTTTGATACTGTAAAAAACGGATAACATGATAACATAAGCCGACTGATAAGTGATAATATTAAAAGATAGTTAAAGCATTTAGGTACCTACATTAATTTTATAAGAGGCTAATTTATTATTTTTAAATCAATGAACAAAATATAATATGTACCTATATAATACACTTATATAGTAATATGACTATACCTACAATTGTTTGATAACAATACAATCGAAAACATTAACCGTGTTATGATTTATGTAATAATAAATAGTGACTAAAATTGGCAAAATTGCTATCTAAAAACTATTGAAGTATTTATATGTTAATCCTGGATGATAGTATTATAAATTATAATAGTATAAAATAAACTATGTATTTTATAATAATTGAATATTTTCATATTTTAAGGCATACTTTATAACACATTACAAATTAAAAATGTATTTATAAATAATCAAAATATTACAATATAGGTATTTTGAATTTAAGATACAATTTATGTATTAATTAAAACTTTTACATTTTCATCCTTCTTTGTTTGGCCACTTTGAAAGAATAGAATTTATGTCGATGAAATCAACAGTATCTTTTTTACACCTTAATATGCATCAATGAATTAAGGGGATGTCAACTTATTTTTCTTCTCTCTGATCATTTTACGTTCACAATAATGAATGTAGTGTATAATCATAAATATTTTCGAGGGTCAGAGGAATAAAAAGAATGCGCTGACATTCTCTTAAGTCGGTCCGAAACTCTGAAATCATTGTAGATCTTACGCTATGTTTAATAAATTTCAGCTTACTAACAATTACAATTCGTTCACTGGTAGCTTCGTAACAGATGACGTAAATCGTAAATCGTAAATGGGAGACGCAAAAACCACTTTTATTTTAAAATTCATAAAACGTTAATTCGTAAACCACGAAGAACGCCGGGGAATCAAACGAGCAGAATGACAAATACCGGAATAATATGTTTTATAAATATATAGCCAATAGCCATATATGTGTAATATACATGATACAAGCACGCAGGTGTACTGAGCGGACGGCTGGTACCAGTATATTCTATATATTTTAGAAATTATTATTTTTGGAAAACAAATGATACTTTTAATACATAATTGGCCTTATAATAAATGATAATGATTGTTAATGGTTGTATAGCAACATTTTAATTCATGTTTTTTAAATTAATATTATAACGATTACGAAAATCGTTATTTCAAGGGGGAAAAAATTTAAATTTTAGATATTATACGTCTATAAATGGCCTTCTGGAACTTGGAAGGGACAATTTCCGACACTCTGGGGGGTTTCACACACCTCCCTTACCACTCCTCCTCTAGGACCACCCTGTTTGTATTTAGATTTTAGACTATATAAGTTAGTGCATTCGTATTAAATATTAATATATATATATATTATGTATATTAGGTATAAATATATCTATACCTTCATACGAATACGATGTCATACTATAACATCAATATATGTTTTCAGAAAGAAGTTTCACCAGCAGTATATTGGTTTGTGGGTTTCTTGATTGTATTGATCTGTTCAGTCCTCGTGATTTCTTGTGCATGTTGTTGCCGTGAAGAGAACGAAAAAAGTAAATTTATATAACTACATTATTGTTTGTATGTATACATCGATAAATGGTAATACAATTGTATATAATTATTCATGTACCATCGGTATAGGCCATAGCACCATTCATATGCCTCAACTTACAATACTTGTATCAAGAAGGAAGTATACTCCAATATTCTTATAGGTATCATAATTCAACCGTCAATATTGTAGTGGTCTAGTTTTTATAAATATACATATCTTATCTATGTATATTCTTATAAAACATTCAGATTATAAAGTCGTACCAAGTGTATAGGTAGGTACTATTGAGGACCACAAAACAAATACAAATATAAAATATACAATAAGATCACATAATTAGATACAAATAGACAAAAGTAGTAACAATAATGGTGATATTTGTATATCGATATAAGTGACATATATTAAATCAATTACAGAATTCTTCAATAGTTTTTGAAATTCTACAGAGAAGTAAATCCTCACTTTACCCTTTCCCTCCACAAAGCTACAAATTGTGCCTATAGTTGTGGCCTGGTAATGATTATAATGGCCTACAAAAATATTGGAACCAACAATAAAAAATTTTTTAATTATGTCCCTATAGCAGTTAGTATAACTTTAGTAGCCAGTTATAGGTACAGTATTATTCGAGCATGTGGCAAAAACAAATAGCTTTTATATATATAATAAAGATGTATAACAATAGCAGTATATACTATACTATACTTTTTTCCCTGATGTGCATATACTATCATAATTTTTGGTGCATATATATAGGTATATAATTTATATATGGTGAGGCTTAAAAAGATTATAAGGCTAAGTAGCCTAAGTCCACCACTAATTTTTGGTTTAAACACGGCACTCATATTCATTATATCTTATAATTCCACGAATAATAGAAATTCATATATTTTTAGTCAAATATAATTATTATGTGATTGATCACCATTCGAATATGTATTACATATTTCAGGCATTAAGATAATACCAAGGAAAATTAGGAACAAATTCAAAAAAACTAAAAGGTTGAGTATGCCGTCTTCCACCCAAATGGAAGATACATCAGGCAATAGTAGTGTTATAAGCCAGAGCTATGGAAAATTTAAAAACCTATTAAAGTTTAAAAAAAAATCTAAATCTAAAATAATCGATTCAAAAATATCATTCAATAACGTACACGAAAAATATGGTCAACTGATACAGGATGATCATGTTACCAAAGAAGATAATAAGACTAATTAACTTCTTATTTTTGTAAAAACTGTGTATACTTGATATCTTTCTTCTACTACCTATATTGTAATACATAAATCTTTTTTTGTCTTTATATTGAATAATTATTTCAACTACCCATCCCATCTAGTATTTACACTTATGTAAATATGTTCTTACAGAAGTATTTACACAGCTGCAAGTATCATCCGTCGATTATTTCAAAGATATAATTGGATAGGTCTAGGCAGACTAACTTGGATACAAAGAAAAAGAATTCCAATCTTTTTACTTCCCATATGGGGAATTGCAATGAAACAAAACAATTAATAAGCAAAAAATAATAAATCTATTAAAATTTGAAACATACATTTTTAATTTTTTTTTTTTGGCATTTTAACAATAAATAGTATAACATTATTTACAAAAATGTATAATTAGTAATGCCGTAATGGTACAATAGAAATAATTACAATTATAACTTTATTAATATAATTGTATGTACTACTAATATTATTATACTTATAAATATAATATACATACTATAGTAATTTTTTTTGTCACTAAACCAAAATCAGTGTCAGCATAAGCGATTGGGATTCAAATAGTTTGTAAATACTGTGTACATTTTACTAAGTATATCTAGCTTTTCTTACTACAGTTGCACACAAAAGCTGGCAACAAAAACTTGTAAAGCGAGTATTTTTGAGAGACCTTTAAAACATGTTAATTAAGCCCTTTAAATCCTAGGCTGACACTAGTGACACTGTTTGAAGTTCATATTTAATCAACATTTTATTTTGTACGGTAAGTACCTAATATAGTATATTATATCTACATTAAGAGGACGCTACAAGGCTACAAACGCATTTGTTGTCTCCGTGCTCCGTCTTACAAGTGCAGCATATAACATAACAAATTTACGACCAGCAGAGTCGCAAAGATTATGTTTAGCTTTAATACTTCGTTAGGCTAAAAATTAGAGTGAATTTAGTATTTCCCTATAATGAAACTTACTGTTAAGACGGAGACAACAAATGCTTACGACTATACAGTCCTCTTAAAAATTTCTTCTTTTTTATTGATCGTGATTACAACTTCAACTTTAGTATCTATGTGACCATTAGTTACACTTACATATTATCTTTTAATTTTTAAATAGAAGGGGTACTCTCAAAAAAAAAAGAAAGAACTCCCCCTCCCAAAAAAAATATTCAAATACTGTGATTTCAAACATTTAAATAAAAACTATAAAATGTATGTATTATTTAAATGTTATATTTGAACATAAATACAAAGAAAAATTGAACCTTAGTTTATATTATATCTATATATTCAATGACCGAGTGTTCGTTTTGAATTTCCAAAGATGAATAAAAAAGAATGGTAATGTACGTATATGCTCGGCTTTTACACATTTAAACATTTTTGTAAAAACACTTAATACAAGTCTTTCATATTATTTTAGAGCGATTCTTACAATCGTACTTGTCAACGCTATAGAAAAGAACTACAGCGATGTCCAGCGGTAGTGATACTCACAGGTTTTCCATGAACCAGTGCGGTTATAATGATTGGGCCTTCAATTTATTTAGTCTACATTTCATTCAACTATCTAAAGATCCGGATTAATATTCAATAGTTATACATTTATATTTTATAGTATTTGCCCTAGAGATCAGAGTGGACCTGGAACCCACGAGAAACCAATGCAATTGCACTACATGGTACGTTATGTGCTCGCCACTGCAAAAATAATACATTTTAATACATATTATAATTTATGTTTCTGATAATAATATGCACTATTTTCTTTTGAGAAATGATCGAACTCCATTACTCCAACAATTTTTATTATAATATTATATTACTATAACGTCTATAACTCTCATTAGTAAAACTCAAAAGTCATATCATTATGCCGAAATTCAGAATACCACGGCCAGCTATGTGTGGTAATGCAAATTAAATGATTGACCAACATTATTAGTAGTTTAATTTTATTTTAATTTTCCTCTTATTTGAATGTGACCATCCTCACATTCCACAATGTATAGTATTTAATTAATAAGTACGTCATATTATATATTATTATAATTATTATTATTTATTTTTGTTTTAATACGGTTTGTGAAAAACATAAAAAAATAATGGAACGTCGAGTCAGGTAAACAAGAAAAGTGTGAACTCTGTAGAAACTATAAATAACTAAAAAAGCTAATAGCTGTACAACTCGACGTTGTTGGGAAAAAATTAACAAACATAAAATAAGGAGCTAAATCGGTGTTATTCGCTTTCTTAACTAATTTGACCGATAGATGAGCAAGTTTGGCCTGGGGTAGGTATGATTATGGATATAGATATAGATATAGCACTTGGTTTATTTTCGAACTTACAGGTTCAACTACTCTCTAAACTTCCCCTTTATCTCATTAATTCCTGAAACTTTCGTCAGAATTGGTCGAAATATCTTGAGTCGAAAAGTAACAAACATCTCCTTAGACACTCTCCTGAATTTCAGCCTTCAGGGAATCTATCAATTTAAATTTTATTTGTTATTGAGATTAGCACGTCGAACAAACAAACTCTTCAGTTTTATTTTTAGTAGTAGGTACCTAATTTGTTTTTTCTCTATGACAATTGACAACGTGGAGCGGACATCGGGTTCGGGACATTACTTTTTCAATTTTTATTCTATTACAGAATAATAATTACATTACCCAATTTTTAATTAAAGGCAAATTTCGATTTTGCCATATCAAAATCGTAGTGTCTAAGCACATCTTTAAAATTTGTATTTTTTAAGAATCAGAGTCTAGAGATGAACCACAATCCCATTTTAAACTTCATACGTTTTGTTATTTTGTGGAATTTTATTTTATTTTGCTAGACAGATGGCGCCACTATTGTACCTTCTCCATCCAGATTTCTGACTGTCCTCATGCATTTTTCTAAAATTTTTTTTCAAACAAACTTTGTCCTGAAAATATTATAAACAATTTTACAGTGTCGTACTTCGGTCGAGTCGTTCTTATTCCTTGAGGTCACATACAATATGTGACGTTTAATTTGTATTTACATAGATTATGTATTGTATGAATTTGAATCCGCACCATATTCATAGACAATAAAATAAATATTATTATTTATTATGTATACAAATACAAAATACTCAAATACCCAATACTTTCTCAGTCACCAGTACCCAAGGTATATCTCGTAGTCTCGTACACACCCCCGCATTTTGTTTGTGGGATAATAGCCACAAAATAACATAACACGCCGTTACTGGGCTAAATTCAAAAAATTATTTAAAAAGAATATCACGTGAGGGTATTTACATAGAGGTACCCAGTACCATTGATTAAGTATACTTAATCAATGCCTGTACCCACAACCCTCCCTAACTCCTAAGTAAACCACTGTATATATGTGTACGCAGGCCGTGTACCCAAAGAAAATAATTGATCCCTAAGCATTTTGAAATAATATTTATGTAAAAAAAAATCATTAATTATATAAAATAGCCAGCAGCCATATAGACAAGACAAATAATGGTGACTGGTACTATATAGTAGGTAACCTACTCACTGGGCGTCTCCTCTTCTCCTCCTCCTGAAGAGTGCTAAACTTTTTTCAAACTTAATATCTTGAATCAAGTGATTTATATTAATAAATTATATTTAAAAGTACAAAATTAATTGACAAGGATTATTATAGGTACCAATAATCCTCCCCCTCCCCAAAGCAGTTTGCGCAACGCCTACAGTAATTGATGTGATCACTGGTCGTGACTCGTGAGAGGATGATCGTTCGGGATGTGTTATTTGTATGGTCACAGCGTGGCTGTATAAGTTTAATATTTGGTGTATTTCGAAATGATTTAAAGTTGCCCCTCCCTCAATAGAGCTTCAGGTACGCCACTATTTAGTTTTACAAGGTGCAGTACCGCACTAGATTACTCGGTACGGCTACGCACGGATTGACGTGATTGTTGAAAATTGAAATTAAACTTATATTCACTATACCCATCATAATAACAACTACAAACATAAACAAAATATAATCATATTATTATTATTATTATTTCTAATTATTTAATAAGTATCGTACGTAGTATTTATACGGATCTGGTGTACAAATGGTGGTTGTGGCAATGGCAACACTGTTTTTTTCCGGTTCAAAAAGTGGGATATCAAAATGGTGGCGGACGTATTCGTGATAGGTATTTTGTTTGTTTTTTATTTATGTTTTGATTTTGGTTCGCGAAAATTCAAATTCTTCATTCACAGTCCGAAACAATGTAACTTCGTCACTCGTTGGATTGCCGAATCCTAAAATGACCGCTCCACTAGTGGCCGAGGCACAGGATATGTGCTCATCGGATCCTAACTTTGCGGTTATATTTGCTTTCTGTGAACGGTTTGGAGACAGTTGTGGTGTTACTATTCCTACGTTCCAAGAGCTACAAGAAATGCTAGAGAAAACTACTGAAGGTAAACTACATAATCTATTAAGTATTAAGACTATCTTGTGCACTTTATTGTGCATTAGACAGTCTTACATAATATATCCATATGCACAAACATATTTTCTCAATGCTCTCAACGTGTTTCCTACGCTTGTTGTCGATTCATCAAACACCAAACTACTCAATCAGGGGCTTTATTCTGTTAATTTAATCAAATACTTGTATCAACATTGTATCAATGTTTTTCCATAACCTTTCAATTATCAACATTAAATAATGTAAATGTAAATGTATCTATAAAATAATTCAATGTGTGTTATTTTTTACTAATGTTAACTGTAGGTACTTATTACTTTTTTCTATTGAATTAAACTAAGTTAGTGTAAAAAACAAATGTAGTATTAGGTATATTCAATTTATCTTTAACACTTAGTGACAAAAATATTACTGGCTTTTATTGTTAGCTATAACACAATTTTTATTATCTAGCTATATAGAAATATTTTACATATAAAACAGTGGCATAGCCAGGAATTTTGTATGAGGGGGCTACAGGGTTTTTTTAAAATCATTTTTTTAGTACAATGTAGGATAAAATAAATGGTGTCAATGGTGGGGGGTGGTTATGGCCCCCTCAGCCACGCTAAGCCCCCCCGGTTATGCCTCTGACTCTATACACTCATAGATTATATCATATAATTTGTATGTATACATATTGATGTTTAAACTTTAAATTTGAACTTTAAGGTGGTTATCTCCAATATAGTTTTATTGATTTTTTAAGTAAATTTATTTATCTATTTGTTGGTTCATTCAATTTATCAATATTAATGTTTAGTATTAATATTATTAATTTATCAAGTTTAAGAAAATTTTCCCATGTTTACCTATACGTTTCCAAAACAAATTAATGTATACAAAATCACAGGTTGGTTAGTATGATAAGATAATTTGTTATCAGTTATAATTTTAAAATTTATAATTTATAAATTATAACATTTTTGGACTGTAGACAGGGACGCCCCCAGAAAATCAGCTCAGTGGGTGCAAAGTTAAATTTTTGTGATACATACATAGGAAATCACATATTTGCATTACTACACACTGATTTTTTGGTTCATTTAAAAAATCCCAGTGGGTGCAATGGCACCCACTGGTCCCTCTCTGCAGGCGCCCCTGATCATAGATATTTGTTGTTTGGAAATAAAATGTATCACTTGGGGCCAGTTGTACCGTCTACGGTTACACTTCGATTACGCTTAATCAGCTGATAATAGATTTTATAACCGGCAAAATTCGGCCGATTAAACTTCAGTTAACTTAAATCGGAGATGGTACAACTGGCCTTAAGTGTATAAGACGATTAGATTTAGTTCTTGTCTAAATGCAGTTTTAGCTGTTATTTTAATTTTATTTTTAGACTCATCATAGGCACCACTAACAGAATTATAGTTTTAACAAAAAGAAATCATAACTGTACAAATTATATAAATATGGACAATGAAGTTACTAGAAAAAAAAATATTCAGATACAAATATTACATCAATAATTTAAGTTACTGTAGAAGCTCTGGTCAAATAAAAATTATTTCCTTTTAATTAAGTTTCAATTTATATAACTAATTGATATTGAATTCTATTAATTTGAGTTGAATGATAAATGTGGTTAATAGATTTTAATATACTGTTTTAATATTAAATAACTTAACAGCGTATTATATTATTTTTAGTTCCAGATGCATTAGTTGATTTACATATAAAGTTATTGCGCCGAGTCAAAAAAAGTGTACATGCAGATAAATGGGAAAGAGCAGTTTTAAAATTCTGTCAAGAATATTCTGTTCCAGAATTTTGGGAATTAGAACACTATGGATACAAAGGCATTTCTGTAAAACTAAAATTAAGAATTTTAAAAGTAATTTAGTAGCTAATCTTTGTACAGTGATATAATATTAACATAATTTTTCTTTTTTCACAAGACTCTTTTTGAAGCACAATTTGACAGTAATGTTAAATTTAAGTCTGAAGTTAATAAATTAGAGAGCTCCACACTTCATTCTCAACCACTAGGTTGGGATAGATCAGGCGTAGCTTATTGGGTTCAATTTGACAGAGCATGTAATCTTCGAGTTTACAAAGAAGACATTGATGAAGATACTTGGGAAATCGTGGCAAAGTAAATTTTGTAGTAAATTTTTGATTTATGTTTTATTTAAATTATATTTCTTATATTTTTCAGAGATCGAAGCACGTTAGTTAATCTTATAAATGAATTGTCCGGAGCAAAAGATAGCACTCTTGATGATATTGAAGATAGTAATAGTATTGAAACTGGTTCAGATGGTTCAGATGAATTATCCTCGAATCGAAATTCAGAAAAACAATCCCCCGTGTTAACAATTAAAACTCCCATTATTGAAGATAGCAAAAAAGAAATTTGTATTACAGAATCAACTAATGTTGAACTAGAAACAAATGAATTTGATCCAGAAAAAAATCCTCTCGAATCTATTAATTTTAAAAGAAAATTGAATGAGGATGATGACAATTCATCTAATAAAAGTAATATTCCTATTGTTGGAGAGGAGATTGAAGAATCTGTGATGATCGTAAAAGGTGAAGGTTCTGGGCAGGAATGTGATACTGGTAATCCTGATGAAACAAATACTCAAAATGACACATCAAAAAATGAAGAAGTAAAAAAACCAAAATTATGGAGTATTGAAGCTATTTGTAGTTCATCTAAAGAAGTCAAAGAAGAAATTGTTTCTGTTCCCAAAACAGGATTTTTTTTTGGTGATGATTCTGTACCATGTTTTAATAATGTTTCTAATGGAGAAAGTTCCAGTATTGATGACAACAAATTAGAAGTTGTCTCATCAAACAAAAATATTGAAGAATTTAAAAAAAATCAAAAACCGATTGAAGAACTAAATAAAAATAAAAAAACTGATGAAGAATCAAAAAATCAAAAAACTGATGAAGAATCAATTAAAAGTAAAATTCTGGATGAAGTTGATACCACTACAACACATAGCATCAAATCTTTAAATTTAGATGAATTTACTTGTAAAAACACTTCAAAACAATCAGTTTTTAATATAAAAGTCCACGAAGAAGAAGTTCAGATCACAGAACGAAAAGCTAATGAAGTTTTTACAAAATCTGAATCCAGTATACAACATAATTCAACAAATGTTTATAGTTCAACATCATTTGACAGCTATAGTAAACCTCAAGAGTCTCAAATAAATAAGGTAACAGAAAATGTTGCATGTAATAAAGATAATCAAACAAAAATCAGTTGCATAACTAATAAATGTGATACAGATCATATGGTTGAATATAACAAAATTGATGTTGATCAGACTAATGACCAACCAACAGATCTTACTAGTTCTGATATTCACATGGGTAAAATAATAAAAGAACAAGAAAATCTGAGTGTGAAATTAGAAGAAAACAAAAAATGCAATATTGATCAACAGTTAGAAGAAAAGGATCAACAATCAAAACCTAAAACAGTTAGTGAACCTATTAAAATTGATAAACGAACACTTGACTATGAAATACAATTAAATGAACAATTGACAAATAAAAACAATCAAAGTGATGATGGAGAAATAGTAGATAACAGTTGTGAAAAAATCATATTAAATGAATCATTTGCAAACACAGTTGGCCAATATGCTGACATTAATGATCAACCAAGTATTGATGTAGTTGAGCAAAATGCATGCACGTTAGATACATCATCAAATGTAGTTGACCAAAGTATTACAACAGATAATCAAATATTGGATAACAAATGCACCATTATTGATAATGATGAACCAGTAGTTAATTTAGCTGAAGATAACAAATCAGAAAAATTATCTGAACATATTCAAAATACTGATGATTTGGAAACTAATGCTACTTATTCTAATAATGACAAATCAATAATAAATGCAATTGCAAGTAGTAGTAAAGCGTGTGATCAAACTTTAACAGACAGTGTTGATCAATGTCCCCAAACCCCTAACCAAGTTGTTGGTAATCAAAATATTTATAAATCTAAGAAAAAACCACATAATATAAGTAATATTATTGACACTGATGTGATTGTTAATGACAGTGTTCAAGTAAATGAACAATCAATTAATTCTGGTGATATTGATATTAAACAGCTAGAACATTTTCAAAATGCAAATGAGAAAAATGATCTCCAAGAAAAAAAACCGTCTGTTGCAAATGAAGATTGCCCTAAAGTTTTTAATAATAAACATAGTTTAAATAAAATATTACAAAAATTGGATAATATTAAAGAAATGACGGAATGTTCCAACTCTGAATCTTCTAATGTTGATTTAGAAGTAGACAAAATTGGTATAATGAAATCTGAGGTTGAAATAAACGTGGAAGAATCAAATTTAAAGAACAAGGATGTTTTGAAGAATTTGACTGTAATAAAAGATGATAAATTAATAGAAAATGAAAGTAATATTTCACTTATAAATTCAAGTGTACTAGAAAATCAAAAGGTCATTGATGCGATCAATAAAGTAACCAAAAGTGATAATGATTGTGAACCATCAACAATTCCTATGGATCAATGTAAGACAGAAGAAATAAAACAGGACAATTTAAAAGTGAATCATGCCGAAATGAAACAAAATAAGGCTATAAAAGAAAAGCACAAATTATTTAATGTCGTAAATGATACTCATATTGATGTTTGTAATGAGGAAAAATTGAATTTGGAAGAATTTAAAAGTGCTTCGTGTAAAACAGACAACACTGTGTGTGATTTATCTGTTAAAGAAAGTACATTGAAAATGGAATCTCCAATAGAGATTGATGAAGATAGTGCTATTAGCCTTTTACATAGTGGTAAGATACAACAGCATATATATATATCATTCAAAATTGTATGAATCTATTTTAATTTTATTTTCCTGGGAGCTAATCTTGTTTATATGGTTATTTACATTCTTTTCAATGAAACTTATTTAAATGTATGTTGCTGGTTGTATTTAAATCATAATTTACCATTTTCTTTTTGTTACACTATTTACTTTACTATGTTTTTACTTTTTACTTTAATGTCTTTTATTAGATGAAAATGTTATCAACAAATCAATCAAAATTCACAAAAATCTAGAAAACAAAGAAAAACGAACAAATTCTGATAAAGATATAATACAAGAAAATCTCAAAATAGAAACAAACCCTAAGGGTAAGTTAATTATAAAAATTAAATTATTTTAAAAACAATCTAACATCAACAATAAAATAATGTATATTTAAGATCTGGACGAGAAATATATATTAAAACCTTCTGAAGAACAAATTGCTATTTCTCCAATTTGTGAGGATATACATGAAAATGCCGATGAAATTAACGAAGAAACATTTCAGAAAAGTCGTAAGTTTTAATATAACTGTTAATTTATTATAATTTTTAGATTCTGAAGAAAATAGGGATATACTAATATTACAATAGTATTCTTATTTTTTATTTTTCTGTAAACTTTTAAACAACAAAAAAGTTCCATAGAGTCATCAATTGTAATTGATTCTTTGATAAGTCTTTTTTCAGTAATTTCCAAACTGTAAAGAAAAACTACTGGAAATTATCAGATCTCAGAAAGTAACTTCTTCCCAAAACCAATTTCCAAATGCAATGATTTATTGTTTCTTTCAAATTTGTAATAGATCATTCATCACTAGTATATATAAGTGCTCTAGTTACAACTTGGTCTTAAGTCTCCAGCGTTTTTGTTTATTGTTTTGAAATGGTTGTCTATGATTTAAGCTATACAACTAATTCAAATTATTTTATTTCCATAAATTTATTAAATACAATGTAAATCTTGTGTTTGACATTTCAGCTAAAGAAGAGTTTGATGACAGCGTAGATATATCCCATAATTTTGAAGAAGATAATAAGAGTGAAGAAGAGGAAGTTGCTGAAGAAACACCAAAAAAAAAAGGAAGACCTGGGCGAAAAAAGGGTAGATATTTATAAGATAAATGTACTCACGTTTTAAAGTTATATATGGTTATTTGCACATGTATTTAAAACTACAATTGTAATTTTTTGTATCAGGAAAAAAAGGAAAGGCTAAAAAAGTTACTACAGTTAAGCAAGAAAGTAAAAGTAGTACAGAAGATAAAGTAAAACGACCATACAAACCTCGTCAAAAGAAAGGTAAAGTTTAATTTTTATTTCACAAAAAAATAATCTATTATGTGTTATAACAATCATAACATTTTTTAATCGTATTGAATTTTAAATGTATGTCTTAACAGTTGTCACCATATCAGAAGAGGTGACTGTGTTTCCAGAGCCAGCTGGCGATGACAATGTGCGTAGATCACGGCGTATTGCTGAGATAAAAATAAAAGAACAATTTATTCCTACACCCCAGTATGATGACATTGATTTACCATTAAAGAGTCCAAAAAAAAAAGATAAAGGTGGAAAGAAAGGGTCAACACCCTCCAAAAAGGTACATTCATTCATATGAGTGTATGCCAAAAATGTTGTGCTAATATAATATTTGTCACTTAGTTTGAAAATGCTGAAGAAACTGATGACGATGACGAAGAAGATGCTATTTCTAAAAAGTTCAAAAAAAAGAAGAGGAAAGGAAAATCTGATTCCTTGAAAAAAATCAACATGATAAATCCTTGGAATGTAGATTCTGAATCTAGGTATGCGCACTTTTTTTTATATTAAATTATTTTACCAATATTTTTTGTTAATTAAATTGTCAACAATATTTACAGCTCTTCCGAAAATAATATAGGATTATTTGAAGACTACGATCATGAAGAGGAGGAGGAAATTCCTAGACCTGGAATTGAGCCTAATATTTCAGACCATGAGTTTTCCCCTGAATCAGATATTAACGACGAAGATGAAGAGTATTTGCCTGAAAAAAGAGCGCGAACTGCTCATAAGAAAGGTTTTTTAAGAATATTATGTGTTAAAAATTTTGATGTAGACTTGTTTCTTTTATAACAGAAATGTATTAAGTTTTTTTTTATCTTTATCCAGATGAAGGTGAACAGTTGAAAGACGACATGTGTCAAAAATGTAACAAAAGCGATCAACCTGAATGGATTTTGCTATGTGATACTTGTAATCAAGGATGGCATGCGTCTTGTCTCCGTCCCCCACTTATGGTGATTCCTGACGGTGACTGGTACTGTCCACCATGTCGTCATGTAAGTGCAATTATATACATATTCCACTCAGGACAATTTTTCCAACTTTAAGTTCTTTTATAGCAAGCTCTGTTGAATGCATTAAAAGAAACTTTAAAAAAATATGATGGTGAATCAAAAAAAAGAGAAAATGAAGAATTGAGACGTAAACGGTTGGCATATGTAGGTATAAGTCTTCAAAACGTTATATCATCAAAAACGGAAGAAGTGAAATCTGAAAAACTGCCTGAAGTACATCAATCTTCTGAAGATGATGAAGACGAATCAGAATCTGAAGAATATGATTCAGAACCGTTGTACACTTTAAGAGCTCGGCGACAAGCTAATGTCAGTTACCGTTTTAACGATTATGATGACATGATCAATGAGGCAATTTTAGTAAGAACTAGTTAAATAAAAATAAAAGTATTATGCTGTACTTATTATTTTGATTTTTTCAGGAAGAGACTGGTGTTGATGAATCTACGGCAAAAAAATCGCCTGAAGTGAAAACTGACAAAAATGATAATGATGAAAATAATGATTCTGATGACGATGAAAATGACAAGGATAGAGAGGATTCGCCTATAGCGCCAGCTCTGTTACATTTGAGGGGGCGAAAAAAATCAAAAAAGCTCACAAATCTAGATATTAGTTCAGACGATGGATCAGATGAAGATTTCAAAGGGCCTTCGTATGTTCAATATTATAATTTAATTTGTATCTGTGTATAAATAAAAGATGTTTGTTAATTTCAGAGATGGGGACGACGATTACGATGAAGATTTGAGCGAGTATAGCGACGATTCTGTCAAAAGACGGCCACAACCAACACGGCGGTCTGTGCGGAACCGAAAAAACGTGGTCGATCCTGACTTTAGTAAGAATTGAATAAGTCACTATTTTAAAGTACTGGTAAATGATTGATATTAGGGAAGACGGTCATACCGGAATACTGATTTGAGATCGATGTACCGGTGTACCATCTTTTTTTTTTTTTAAACCATACACCGAAAATATCGATAATACCAATAGGTAATACCGAAATGTACAAAAAATCGAAAATACCGAAACATTAGTATGTCACGACATAGTACATCAACTATCTACCGAAATTAGTTGTCTTATTGTTTAATATTTTAGCCTTTTTTTAAAATTGTCAATAGTGTATAGTAATATATACCCCCCCCCCCCAGTTGTGCCTTGTGTATTGCCATCTTTTTATAACAATTAACCGAAAATATCGAATTTACCGATTATATTCCGAAGTACCGAAATATCAAGTATACCGAAATAACCATACCAAAATATCGGTTTAACGAAATTTTCGGTTTACTGACTCATACCGGTATAAAATATCATACCGAAATATCTATGTAAAAAAAGGACCGTCACCCCAAATTGTTATGCAGTTGTTAATCGTGTAAACTGTAAATTTAGTCAATGATGATTCGAGTGAAGACAGTGATCAACGTTCCAAAAAAAAGAGATCGAGACCTTGGTCAGATTCGTCCAATAGCGAAGACGAAGATTTAACGTGGGGAAAAAAGAAAAAGAAACGTACAAACGCGTTCTCCTCTTCGTCATTATCGTCCAAACCGGCCAAAGGAACTAAAAGGAAACGCGAAAACGATGGTGCCCGAAACATTAAAAAATCTAAGGTTGTATAATTATATTATGTAAATAATAAATGTACAATTTGTTTGTGCGGGTTTTTTAGAACTTTTTTGTACTTAGATCAAGTTTGGTATGAATTCGGATTCAGATTCAGACGGCCAACCTAAGAGAAGGACCAGAGGACGCCAAATAACTTACGCCGAATCCGACGATTCCGAAGAAGTAAAATTATACCATATATAATTATTAGTTTATTATTGATGGCTAAACCACAGTAGATATACTAATGTAAAATATTTTTTTTTTAGGAAGTCATAACGAAAAAGCGTAAGGTAGCAGTTGATGAAGAAGACGAATACGTGTTGAATGACGAGGAATTAGAAGTCGAGAACGAAGACCATACTTTAGAAGTGGATGAAGACGATGCTATAGCCAGTAACGACGAGAAGGACGAAGACGACGACGTCTACGAAGAAGAAGCAGTTGACGAGGAAGAGGAGGACGAGGACGAAGAGGAAGAGGTCGACACAAAACTGGCAATAAGCTCATCAGCACCAGCTGAAAGTCACGTCGCACATCGGGCTGTCGTGAAACCGCCGCCGCCGCCCGCCGTTGTCCAATCAGTTATCAGGGAACCGGTGTCTTCATCGTCATCCGATCCAGTGACTGTCGAACCTCATACCAGCGCTCACCCTCGACTTTTTCCACAGGCCGTCGTACAGCGATCGGACAAACAAGTTTTGTCACCGGTTGTCGACCCTGAGCAAGGGTCGCCGGATAAGCGTAAGCGTTCACAGCACCAGCCGAAAAAGTGTCCATCGCCCAACCCTGTGGTTGACTACGGGGGAAGTGCCGGCTATCCGTATGCGCCGGACGCCACCAAAGTGGCAGTGTCCCCCGTCCCGCCATTGCCCGCGCACGTCGCGTACATCAGACCGCCTGCAGTAGTGTCTGCTGCTGCAGGAGTGTTCAAGACAATGGTGCCACGAACTGCTGGTGATGTGGGCTTTCCTGTCGCGCCAGTCCCGTACCGGACGGGAGCCAATAAAATGACCGGACCGGCCTCCTACCTGCCTCCGCCGCCCCCACCTCAGGTGCAACAAGTGTACCAGGCGCCGACACCGCAGCCGCAGCCTCAGCCGTCGTCAACCAGTTATTCGCCGTATCCAATTGATTACGCCGTCACTGGAGCTCCACTACCACCTCCACCTCCCACGATTGCGTTCCGAAACGTGGTCGTAGCACCGCCGTCGCACGAGCACGCTCCTCTGCTGCCCAGTACAACACAGCAGCAGCAATCGGCCACGGGGGCCGGAGACAGTGAATTTGGCGGGCTAGTTTCTTATTTTTCCAGTCAACAGGAAGACGATTTTGACACATGATGATCTCGTCCATCTCCGCCACATTATTATTATTATTGTAATTATTTTTACCCTTTTTTTTTCGTTTGTTCCCTCTATCCCTTCGACAATTCATCGTATTCTTCTGTTCTATTATAGTATTGAAAACTTGGCTGCTTGTATGTTGTTATTATTATTAATATGGAATTCTTTTATTCTTTTACTTTTATTTTACCATGACGTAGAATTTTGTTTTTGAGTACAAAATGTAGACTCTTGTTCAATTAATGTGGTCGTGTGTAGTAAATAGTAGAGTAAGCTTACAACGCACACGGAGTCATCAAAAAACTACTACTGACTATAATATCATCATTCATCACAATCAAATTTGATCGCCATCTGTTGTTAATCCACATTGTAAAATCATATTCAATAAGAAATGCAACGAATTTTCTCCATAAACTGTCAACTAGACTGCCTCTTTCTGTTGTTTTATAACTTAAAAGGACACCACACCCGCATGTGTTATCACTGTCTTAAAATCGTACAATATAGCAAATTTTACATTAATCCATTTTACCCGTTATTTTTAAAATTAGAATAATTCACTCTAATTTTGATCTATGATAAAATTTAAAAGAAAGATTATTATCTAGGGTATCTTGGAAGATTTTAAGTAAGTTTTGACCATTTTAAAATGTACAATTCCAAAAAGGTCATAACTTGCTTCTTAATAAAAATAAGAGCCTTCAAGATGCCCTAGATAATAATCTTACCTTTAAATTTTATAACAGGTATATTCATTTTAATTTTTTTGAATGTACAGGGTAAAATAAACTATTGTGAATTTAAAATTTGCATGTTGTTTGTAAGACCAAGATATGGCTTTGGTGTCCTTTAAATATAATTTTGTTTTGTATTTTTAATTTTAATTGAAAACACAAATTATTTCCTTATTTGTTTAATAAAGCCATAATGTTAAAAACAAAGATCTGAGAGTATATTATAAATGCATAACGAACAATTTATTTTCCAACAATTTTGTTTGTGTTAAGTACTAGATAAAAATGTTTTTTTACATACCTATATATTTATGGTTACCTACTTCAATTACAAAAATTCAATTTATTAATACCTTGCCATCATTCTCATTTTTTGAAACAATTTATTTATGTATCTTCCTAGCTTACAGCAAATATTCATTTTATTTGCCTATTTCTTTTTCAACTGACCCACCATAAAACAACCATGTTTTAGAAAAATCACAGAAAAGAACTTGTGTGTAATATTTAATGTACATATATACATTTTCTAAATATATTTGAAATAACTATTAAAGTTTGTTTACATTTTAAGTTGTAGTGAAAATATTTTGATTAATTTTTTTATGTTTGTCAATACGCTGAATGTTATTTGTACGTAAATTGTACAATTTTACTTTCATAATTTTAATATATTATAGATTTTTATTTAATTGGTACATATTGATGTAAGACACATTAACACAAATGTTTAATTTTATATTTGTTTTGAATGAACAAAAAATAATTTATAAGTTCTAGTGTTGTATAAAATCATATTATTAATTATTAAGATTTGAGAGTTATACTTTTAGACATAAATATTTTATTTGTAAGTAGGAGGTATATAGATATATATATATAATTTATTTCAAACTTTTGTTGGTCTTTATTTTCATATGAATGTGATCATTTCCAGACTTAAACTTTCAGGTATTAACATGAAAAGTTGTGAAGTGTACAAAAAACTTAAATTAATGACCCTGTGAACTCATTCATTTTTTCAAAGAAAGTAAACATGAACGCGTTAGTTTGAAAAAATACACAGTACGTCGGACCAAGTGTATACTGTCAAGACTGTATGATATTATTATAATTTATAACATAAAATCAATGATAAAAGTTTAAGAGGATTCTACACAACCATATTTTGTTGTCTGCGTCTTACAAGTGTGCGAAATGTATTAACATGGCAAATTCTACTCTCAGCAGATCACGTTTAGCGAATAATTAAAATTATTTTGTGAATTGACTTATACAATTTAAAGGTAAGATTATTTATTAGATCGTCTCAAATTGAGATTTTCAATAATAAAGGCTATTTATTATATTTTAATTTTAATGAGAGTTATGAGTATTGTAAAATTGTAAATTGTTTCTAAACATTAAAATAGTTACTCATAACTCGCTTTAAAATTAAAATATAATAAAAACTGCTATAACCTCTATATTTTTTTTAAAGAAGTCAATTCACTTTAAGCTTGAAACTAACTCGAGCCGAACGTGATCTGCTGATGTGCCATGTTACGCAATTGTAAGACGGAGATGTGTAACGTCTTCTTAAAAAAATAATAGAACAATAAATTACAGAGGCTCAGTAATTGCCAGTAAGTACATAGTAATAAACTGATATTGTATGCTCGGCGGCTATTATAATATATCAATAAATAATATTGTGTCGATATATGTTGTGATAATATTAAATTCCACTATTATTTTAGATATTTCAACAAGCGCCATCGTTAATTCGCAAACTTCAATAATCAATACATATTATACTAAATATTCTATATTTATTATAATAAATTGCGATATGATTATCATTTATCGTTCAAATATCAATTATCATTAAAGTTATTGTGCACAAGTATAATGTATATAAGCTCCATTTGTTTTCTTATTCACTAACTTACCAAATTTTTTTTTAAAAATTGGTCTATTGATCCAGCTTTTTTTTGTTTTTATACGTTGACATGATTTTTAAATCGACAAGATAAGGTGTATCTTTAAGTAGTGAAATATGTGCTCGACAGAATTGGATGTTCCTTGGTCATGTGCGTGTTGCCTCTGTATAGTCGACCAAATATAACATTTTCCCTTCTAGTCATCGTATGGTTGGGGCCACGCTAATATATATATAATATACCTTCATATTACACACGTATACAGTATACTACACTAGCAAAAGGTGCTTATACTATTTTATAATTAGGTATATTGGTTTATAACAAAACATAATGATGATATATATTGATATGTATCATGTGTCCGCTTGTTCAGTTGCTCATCATAGTAGGTGTATTTTCAATTATAATATGTAAAATAATTGAAAAAAACAACTTTTTTTTTGTTTTGAAAAACGCGTGTCCATATAAAATAGTAGACAGTACAATAATATTAGATATATTAAAAGAAAGACCACCTAAAAGTATAGGACGGGTACTGCAGAAGAATACTAATCGAAAACCCTCGTTTAAATATTACGACGTATCAATAATAATCATAATATTAATATGTTTGGAAAAATAAACGCTCCTGAAATCCTAGTTAATGATGCTAAAAGCTGCGGAAAAAACGAAAACGACGAACGTATTCGCTGGATAGTAATAATCTAGATAATCTGTGGACAACCGTGGTAATAACTAATAATCGTATCCGTCGCCTGGGCCATTTTCGAATTGATCGGTTTCCGTGCCGCGAAAGGTACGCGATCTTAGTTCATCAACACTTGAAATTTTCATCAAAAATTTACAATACCATTTTTCGTACATGGTAACATTTTCGAAATAATTTGACCTATTCAGTCTCGAAACATTTTTCGTTTTTATCTAATTTTTGTTGTAAACGAATAGGTACCTTGAAATGTTTATTTTATCATTTCGTACGCATGAACAATTTTCCAAATATTTAAAGTCGTTTTGAGCTGTATAACTGACATTTTCAGTTTTTCGTCCTGTAAATGTCAATAAAAATTTAATCGTTGTCAAAAAGCTTGTCAATTAAATAGAAGGTTGCTGATATGTTGTTATAACTGCAGTTGAAAAATACCAAAAATAAATAGGCACAATTTTTTTTTAAAAAATGGTAGGTATATAACCAAATATTATAGGATAACTACACACACTCACAAATAATCAGATTACCTGAAATGTTATTAATTCAATTTTATTAAATGGATTATTACCATTCTGAAGTTGAAAAATGAAAACATAATACATAAACCAAGCGATTGGTTCAGACACAATTTGGAATTTGAATTTTCTAAGAATATTTCCACCTACCAATACACATACTATACACAAGTCACGTGACGCATGGTATTTAAAATCAAATTACCGGTTTAAAATATAAGTTCAAATAAGAAGAAGTAGCTAAAAACTATAGGTTAGACCTACTGGCTACTATACACAAGTCTACTAGGACAAACATAAAATCATTGATGCAATAGACTAATACAAAAATACAAGTTACAGCTATTAGAAACAGAAAAAAATTTTATTTATAAACTATGTACAACTGCTGTTCTTTAATTAATTTATATATAATTAAAATTACTTAATTATAACTATATAAACATGAATATATGATTTAGAAAATTATACATAGAGATTTTGTTTTTTTTTAAAATTACATACAAAATTGAATATTTATAATTGTGTATAAGCACACGCACAAACATTTTATGTTATATTATATTTAACTATTTTATGCATAATTTTGTTTTGCAGATGATTAAACACACCAAAATAAAGTATAGAACACCTATCTAAAAAACATCACAATACACCAAAAAAAGAATGTTTAATATGATAAATATGTATGTATTATTAAATTGTATACATAAGAAACAAAATGAGCTAAGAATAGTAATATTACAAGCGAATATGTCGCGTTTTAAATTCATTTAAATTGCTTGAAAAGATATAATAAAATAATAATGATAGTAATGATAAAATAATTGGATAATAAAATTGCACATAATATACATATTAGCACAAAAAAAAAAAAAAAAAATACCAAACAAAACAGCTGTTAAAAAAAAGTAAATATTATATTTTTATACATAATAATATTAAACATTAATTAAAAACTTAATGTGAACATTAACAAAGACGTATACTAAAATCATTTAGAATAACAAAATGAAAATTTTTTTAATAATACTAAACACGTCCGATGGTTCGGTTAATGTGTCCAATTTTAAAAACTAACCAACCAAAACATAAATTGTCAACCTTTTTTTAAACTTGTTCAAAATGCATTAAAAGAAATAAAAAAAAACACTTGGGTAACTTATTTAAGTACAAAAAGAAATGTTGCTTAAACATAGAGTTGAAAAATATGTCAAATGGCAATTCCTAAATTTAGTAGTAAAAAAAAAAAAAATAATAATAATAATAAAAACAACAACATAACACGGTAACTCGTCCTGTGTGTGCACGGCCGCCTACTGATGATGATGATGATGATGACGACGACAAAGACGACGACGTCAACTCACTGTGTACACGTTGACGCCCAACAGCTGTTTGAGTTTGCGGTCGTAACGGACTAAGAGTATTTGTTCGCCGCCGGATGCCGATGACGATAAGGAGGAGTCGGCGGAGGTAGTAATTGCGGTAGTGGTAGAAGTAGCGGAGGCAGTGGAGATTGTGGTCGTTGAGGAAGTGGATATGGAGGTGGAGGCAGATGTGGACGACATGGAGGGAGAGCCTTCCTTCGTGGCTGCAGAGTCGCTGTCGTCTGTGGACGGACGTTCGGCGGCACTGGACTTGTCGACTACGGCGGAGACTGGCACCACGACTGGTTGTCGGCCCAGCGATTTCCGCAGCACCGCGCGCTCGCTAAATCGGTCCGCCGGCACGGCCGTCACGGCGTTCTCGTCGTCCAACAGTTTGGCGAGCGCTTCGACAGTCTTCACGGACAGTGCCGTCGAAACGTCCGAGAACAGCACCCAATCGTCGTCGTCGACGCCGGCCTTGCGGTCGTCAGCACTTCCGTCGGGGGGCAGCTTGTAAACTTCCGGTAGCGCGTGATCGGCGAACTCGAACTCGAACGACGGGCCATCGTCGACCGGTGTCGGTGATGGGACGGGCGGCAGACTCCACAGCAGCTGGTCTACGTCCTCTGGTTCATCTATAAAACACACGCCACGTGGGCACAGGTACAAAATTAGTTAAACGCTATGTAACCGCGGTTAGGTAAGGTTACGTGCCGGTGGCGGCTCGTGAGTTTTTTTTCCAGTGAAGGAGTGCACACGTCCGAAAAATTGTAATCAATATTTAACATACATGACAATATAATAGATTGTATTAGACAATTGTTTACGAACATTGTCAGCTGATGGTCGGTATATAATGAACGAGTGAGAGTATAAATAAATTATAATGCCAACGGGCGACGACGACGTCGAAAATAATTCGCTGAAAACAATTTAATTGGTTATGTGCACATTAATTCTATTATAACACGAGTTGCGTGTTTTGACTTGTTTTAATTTTAACACTGTACAAATGTGCACAGCGACTGTGTGCACTACTGCACTATACTACGATACCGTTCCGGCGAGGACAACCGCCAGGTTGTTTCTTTTATTCTGAATTTTAATAGTTTTTTAATATATCACAACAGACACTCGGTTGTATTATTATGATTTATTTTTTTTATTTTTTTCGAGTTTGGATGGATAGTGCACGTGCACTTGTGCACATATTATACTACACGAGCCGCCATTCGTTACGTCAGGGCAGCGAATAAAGGTGGTGGGCGAGGCTCAATGAAATACTACAATTCATGAGGACCGCGCCAAATCAGCAGCAGTGTTATTTAAAGTTTTAGTCGTACGTAAACGAGTATAAACATGGACAATTCGAGTCCAGCAGAACCAATTAAGTGTTGTTAATTGTTGGCTTTAATATTACAGTTACTTTACTATCATATCATAAAACCTTAAGGTGAGAATATTATCTAGAGCATGTTTAAACGAAGGAGCATTAATTGTAGATATTTAAAATATTAAAGTGAGTTACGGCCATATTAATATTGTGTAATAATTTGCATACGCATACGAGTAAGCGAGTTTTTCTTTCCGCGTCACAATAAGGTTCTGTCAATAAGTCACAAAACTGATAAAAACATGGATATTCTTATAACGCGAGACACAATAATACCTTTCATGTTTTTGAAGAAAACCCGGTCACCTAATATATAATTCTAAATACTTGTAGAGCGCTACATTAAAAAAAACTAAAATGAAATTGTTTACTGTAATTTTATGCTTTATCATATTAGCTGTCTGGGACGTTTAGGTTTTATTTTTAAAAGGCTACCATTACTTTAGTTTCAAAATACACCGGAAGCAGTATATTAATCTGACAATGTTGTGAACTGTATAAATAAACGATAAACATGTAATATCGAAAACATAGCTTTAAGTTGAGCGGAGTAGTGAAGCAGACAGGAGATGCAGTCACCCATTTATATTATATAAACTTTAAATGTTTATAAATGCACCTATAGGTATAAATAATAATATAATACACTGTTCATTATTTAGAAATCAATATTTCTAGAAAATGATGTTTCAGAATTTGAAATTCAAATTATAGGTGTATTAAAATAGTATTTGACCTACTTTTTTTTTTATTGACTGATTCATCTACGACGCCCGGAGAATAGCTTTTTCAACTAACGGAAAAAACTCATTAAAGTTCATAGACTTAAGAGGAATCAGATTTTAAAAATTTAAAACTTTGACAAGTACCTATAGCGCGCGTACAAAGTGTAATATTTAGAAATAAAAACAACTGTTTCACACTACATTCACCACCTTTCCTGTCTCAGAAGCGTAGTATTATGAGAACGTCCCATACACAAGTTTGTGTTTACGTCTTTCACACGTGGAACGTCGTAACAATAAACATATTACGTAGTTTTAATTTTTATCATAAATATAGTTAGAAAGAATCTTTTAGATAAAACATTTTATGACAAATTATTGTAAACTGGTTGATGCTGCGTTCTATACGCGTGGAATAAATAAAACAGATTGGTGTGGCCATGCTCTTAGATTTTGAAGTGCATAATCGGTTGGGGAATTATTTTCTTACACAAATAGGATTTTTTTTTGTTTTTTTTTCACATTTAAGGCCACGTCACTATCTTATGTGTGTTAAAGTATCACACACAGAATGTATTGCATTTAAAACCGAATGTACAGGATAATAATATATTATGTATAAGGTTGGTCAGCTGTTTTCCCTGTTTACATTCATATGGGAGGATATGGGCCATATAGCTATGATGTAGGTAAGTAAATATAATATAGATGGGCCAACCGTGGTTAGGTCAGGTTGTATACAATATAATACTTACGGGTCAGAGTGGAGTCGTCGAAATTCCACATGGACGCGCTGCCGTAGCCTTGAACGTCGTTGACATGATGTTCCAGTAGCATTCTGGTCTGCTTGTCAGTGGCCAAAGACAGTGGTGACTGTCCCGAGTACGTGGCCAAATGCGGGTCGGCACCATAACTGAGTAACAGACGCACCAGGTGCACGTCGCCATTTTCTACAGCTTCGTGTAGGGGCCTGAAAAATTGAAAAGTTTAGAAACAAATGACACATTTTGAGTATTAAACCTAAACCTGAAACAGAAGCGGATGTGAGAGCAGCATATTTTCACATACACCACCATCTCTACAATTTCACTAAACGCCTATAATCTATTTGCAATATGAATATTATATAATATTAGGTTAATTATTACACAATTAATTAAATAATATAGCAAATACAGTAATATCGAGTTAAAATTCGGTTCAAGTTTGGATTTTTAAGTAGTTGTTAACAAAAGCAATTGAACGAACGCAATAAAAGTTTATATTAGCAAAGTACATTAAGTAGTAATAGTGTATGCGTATACTGCACAAAGTGTATATAAAATATACATATACGATAGGTGTTGAATGTTTATAAATACATTTTTTTGACTGGTTGATAAATTATTTTAAAAATTAACATTTTGGAGTGTTTATAGTTTATTTAAAGTATTTGTTTTGTGAAATATTTAATTGGATATTGGAGCAGGGTTAATTGACGTTGATCATACTGCGGGACCGAATCCCAAAAGGTTTAAATCGATTTCACGATATTTTTCGTTTCGTGCAGCAGATATTTAGCTAGTAGGTTAGGTAGCTAACCTGTTATACCAATAACAAATAGCTTTACGCATTATAGCGTCGATAACAAAATATACTTTATTAATGATTGTAAATAACCTAACCTACATGTAATATAGGTAATATATTATATAGGTACTGACCGTATGCCTCCTTGAGCGCTGGCACTGACATCTGCCCCGAACAGAAGCAACAACTTGGCTATGTGGTAATGGCCTTGCGAACACGCTTCGTGCAACGGCGTGTAGCCTGCGTTGTCAGCCACCGATGGAGCGTACTCTAGTTTTTCCATGCAATAACCCACAACGTCCTTTAAACAGAAAACACACAAAAAAATTAAGACCGTGTCATGAAGCACACCTTGAATCGAACCCGAGCGAAATGGGTCGATTAGTATAAATTAATAATAACAATTGCAAGGATATATTTGTTTATAAGGCCCCATCGTGCAGTGTGTCTAGAAAGTTTGTAAACGCTTGTTACATATATAATGTATATTATATCTTGCACGGTTCGTACGTAAATATAACAAGTTTCTAAACTTTCTAGACACACGGCGCATACACGCACACGACGATTATTTCGAAGTTTTTTTTATTTTTCCTTATATCTATAACTTTGAACGACTTATACCTCCTAATAATAACAATAACAGCCATCCCCGTTGTATATAATGCGGTCCGCGATCGCGATGTATTTTACGTATATATAAATACGTATTATACTTATATAATATCTACCGCTCGTATATACGGCCACAAGTGAGGCGTCAATGCAAAATACAATGTATTATATATGAATTATGAGAGCCGATCGATCGTTCGTCGAGTACTCAAATGCGTAATAATGACATGGCACGCGAGTTGAAAAGTTATAACAAAAATTCAAACACAATTTTTATATGCAGATACTAGCTATGAATTATGGTTAAGTATACGCACATTTGAGGTACAGCAGAATAAACATTGGCTGCTCTATAAGCCCGAACCATATACCTTAATGTAATGCTAGTAACCTAAACTTTAAGTAATTCGTAAATAAACGATACATTTTGTAAAAAATATTTGAACTGTTCATTTTTAAATTACATACATCTGAATATCTGCGATGTGTTGTACAAGTACAAAAAAAGTAGCGTCCCCGACCACTGTTATAAAATGGAAAAGGAAAAAAGTTCACGAGCGAAGCGAAGAGCTCTATACACCTATTTGCGGAAAGGCTTTTAGTGAAGTTATTTTGTATCCCATGTAAAAATCAGATGCCACCACATTTTACTGTCAATTTTGCGGCCTGTGGTGGAAAAGTTTGGCAACCCCATTATACAGCTGAAAAGCCAACCCACCGCCGAGTTGAATTAACTTTAATTCACGTTCGTTTAGAGTTTATTTCCGGTAATGTTTTCCCCGTGATCAAGACATATATCATGAGTGGTAATAAGTAATGACGACGGACGTGAATACGCTGGAGGATGGTTGGACGCGACTTGTTGGGGCAAAAATGTAGTTATTAAAAAAATTATTCCACAGAGTCGACAGCATACACTGTTACGATTAATATAATGATGCCGTATTATGATCATACCACCGGAACAATGATGTATAAATGGGTACGCGCGCGTTTTTGTCGTATTTATATTTTATCGTGAGCACTCGTCGCGCACCACCGCGGCCGACGATCGTAGTGAAACGTGTCATAACTCATAATATATAATAATATTATATCGGAAAAGTTGTGGTGCGCTCGTCCCAAGGGCAGACGCGAGCGAGATGCGCGTGTGCATTGTCATATATGTTATTGTAATCGTCGTGTTATTATAAAAGCGTGTCGCGCGAAAATCGTTTCTGGGCGAGTGGGCGACAGGGGAGGGAGAGAGGTTTGCACCATCACGAGGTCGTGTATGCACACGTCATCATTGGAACTATCGAACTTTGCACAACGTGAGTGTGTGTGTGTGTGTGTGTGTGGGCTCCCGACGGTTTTATTTTTTTTTTTTACAATAAACTAATTCTGATAAAAAAAAATCATAAAAATTAAAATTAAAAATGAAGTAAAAATATGAGCATTCTATGTACAGAGTGATTCACCAAGCATGCTTAATGCTTACCATTAGAAATCATCCAAATTTTTAGAATTTTAGTAAGTATTTCAAATAGTAGTCAAGATTGTATCATACCATTTTAAACTTTTTTTTTAAAATTAAAAGCAAATTTTTATTGCATACTGAAAATTATTGTTGAGCAAATGGATGTCTTTGAAAATATTGATACATCAAAATCACAATTCTAGCCAGTAGTTTCTGAGCTATTAATGTGTTAATGATAATGGTTTTACAAAATATAAAATACATGTTGTATTAAATATACTCTGACAAATTTACAAATATTAACGCCTTAGTGCACAAAATAAAATAATTCGGAAGTGCTACTCATTAGAATTTCGGTTAAAATACAACCGATTTGCAATTTCAAAGACGTCATCATTTACAGGGATATAAAAAGGGCGGTTTTCATTTGAAACAAAAAAAACAAGTTGGTATCGTCATAGGGACGTTCCTATTATTCAAGTTTTTAACAGCTTAAAAAATAACCAAGTATTTGAAAATATGATCTTTAAGTAAGTAAACTCACAAATTCCAAAAAATCAGGAATTTAAATAAATAAACTATTGAATGAAAAAAATAGGGGTGAGTATGCCCGGTGAATCACCCTGTATATTTATTTATTTACGAGAGATATATTGCGTTGCAGCTATTCCACAGCGCGTGGTGCCGTGGTGTACGAGTAAATAATAAATAATATTATTATATTAGCTAACGAGACGAGTTGGCGGTGGAGGGGAGTGGAGAGCGTTACAACCGTATATAATAACGGTATCTCCTCTTCCTCCCACTGCAATGTATAAATATTATAATATATATAATGTGCTTGCCCCGGAGACTGTTACGTCGAGTGTCGTTCGGCTTCGGTTTTTCTATCACTTTTTTTTTTGTTTACACGCGATGTAAATAATGCGAATAACTTGCGCGGTGCTCGGCAGTAATATAATACAATTTAATTAAGCGCATCAAGTTCTAAACAATGTTATCGAAAAATTGCGGTCGGCAAGCTACAATATTAAATTGTAATATTAGTCTTTCAGCACCGTGTTGCTACAGTCAATAACAGTATATCGAGACACCACTGTTGATTTGCAAACACGAATGATATAATACATTTTAATCGCGCGTAGATCACTATAATAGTAATATTATAAAAATCTATTAATTAATTAATTAATTAATCTGAGTAGTCTGACTACCTAATAATATGTGTGATCACAATGTAACGAAAATCTTTTTGGCGCGAGATAAAATTATTTATAACAAAGAAAATTCTAGTGTGAAAATTATTAAAATCATTTTTTTCTTTTTAGTAATAGATACTAATACTATGCGCACAATGGGGGCAAATCATTTGGTTAACCTGTACTACTATAATACTATAATTATATAATATTATAATAATTTTATTGAAACTTTTTCGAAAATTAGTATTTTCTTATTATATTAAATCTTATCGAATTGATTAATTTGTGATAATTTGTGATAATTTGTGATATCACAAGCTATGTTAATTACTAATATTGTAACGTTATTCTATCACATCTTTCAATATTTATATATAAGTCATACTATTCTCGATTTTTTTTTTGCAAACTGTGGGCAGAGATTTGTTTAACAAATATGTAACATACATTGTAATGTTTAAGATCACAATCTTGACAATTTGAGACACTTAATAGTTTTTGAGATTTGATGTGGGATTGAGGATCCATCAAGTAATTTTAGGGAAAGATTTTAGGATAACGACTCATCAGGTTAAGTTCGTCTTAACGACCAGGATTGTGCGTATCAAAATACAACAGTTTTCAACATTTCGTACACTTCAACCGAACCGACACAGAAAAATAACCAAGTGGGTAGGTATAGTTTTTGTTTATCTCGGCATTACTACTTTCTAATATTGAAGTGTATGACCACACGAACAAACGGTTTGCGTTTTCACTATTCACGTGTACAGCTGTTGTGACAACAATAATCGGCGATGGAACGAAAAAACGTCAACGATATTTCGATTGGTAAACCGCCATACCAAAATAATATATATTATTATTATTATATACTTGCGGTATACCTACCACCCGATTGCTACGGAAAAACGAAAAGAAAATCACGTAAGCATATTAAGCTGCAATGGACGGGACGAGGGAGTTGTTGGGCGATAAATCATCGTTGTTGCGGTCGACGACGTGATCGATTCGTTACGATTCCCCCTTCTCCTCTCCCGCCCATCATGCAAACCCGCAAATCGGACATAAATCACGTACAATAATACAAATGTACCAATACATATATAATAATAATAATAATGATAAAACAAGACCAATATACAACGGTGGCGTTCCGACCGAGTGCATAATATTATTATTATTATTATTATTGTTGTTGTTGTTATAATATCATCATCGCGTTATGTTATATTTTACGAACGAATACACACGCTATACCTACCCCGTTCTATTTATATTCGCGTATTATATTATAGTATATTATTATCCTTATATTTCCGCTATATTCGGCGGGTCGACACCAGCGACGCAATTTTCGCCCGACCATTGCGCAGTACAATTTGAAATCGACCTCTTCCTCCAGCAACCACCCAGTAAGCCCGGCGTTCTAAACGATAATAACACACACACACACACACACATTCTAAAACTAATGTAAACGCGAAATGCGATAGATAATAACTCCTTTCTATGCCCAGCAGGACTTACACGTCATAACAATAATATTTCGGATGAGAACAAATTTAAAGCGATGGGGGGATAGGTATCAAGAGTGAGGCACGTTAAACGCACTGAACAATTTTATCGTAAATAAACGGTGAGCGGACGCCTGTTTTTAGGAGTGAGGAGCGAGTGACGAAATTATTTTGTTTCTAATAATTAGTGTGCAATGAGATTGGTTTGTGCGCCACTGGTCCAAACCAACAAAAATAACATTTCCAAAATTCTTTATGTGAACTTGTGCGATTTTTTTAGCATTTATGCGCTGATCATTCTACTCGAAATCAAAATTATACGGGTTGGATAAATGTACAAAATCAATGACAACTTGGGAAAATATGTGAAATTAAAAAATCGTATAGGGGCTATAGACTAAATGTCGCATAAATTCTGAAATCAAACACAATTAAAAAATTCACACATGAATACAATATAAAATAAAACATTTCCCAATTATGTCTAAGCTTATTTTATCTCCGCGACTCCGTCCATAAGTCAATAGTCAACTTTATTTATATAATCCTTGCCCCCCACTCCCTTAACACAGCCTGTGATAATAAACAAATTGAAAAAAACTCACATTGACACCTAGTCGGGCAGCTCGGTGGAGTACTGTCTCGCCGTGTCCTTTGTTCACTATCCACCCTTTGATTTCAGCGTGGATCTCAGACACGTAACGCGGAGCGCTTGGTGGAACGGGTGTGGTGGTGGCAGGAGCGGTGGTTACCACGGTAGCAGGTTTCTTGTCAGACACTGGTTCCTTCTTCTTCTTTTTCTTTATGTAGTCAAACCCCGACCGAAACTTTTTGCGCATCATTTTCCGTTTGAAGAGCACGCGAGCCGGTGGTTTTACACCCTTAATGTCTTCTTCACCTGCGTGCACCTCTTCCTCTTCCTCGTCATCATCTTCTTCGTCAAGGTGAGAGGCGGTGACCTCTTCGGCGGCACACCCCTTTTTCATCACCTCATCCTCACGCTGACGTCTTTTCCGCAAATTTCGTTGCATCAACTTTTCAGCTGACACGATCTTCTCCCGCTTCATCAAACGCCGTCCCTTGAACATAACGTCCCGGCGCCCGAACATATGGCCCCCCAACCGTTTAGGCTTGTTCTTGCCGGCTAATACGCCAAGTCCACCACCCACTTGTGATGACTGGCAAGCTGCTAACTTGGCAGCTTTGGACTCCTTGATCGGCTTTGAAGGCGGTGGAATGTTCATGATGGAGGTCAACGACACCTGGTCGGCAGCCACAGCTCCGGCGGTCGGCGGTGACACTACTGATATGAGTTTGGACGGAAGGCGCAACGACCGCTTGAACTTGTAAAGCTCGTCTTTCCAGTCCTCCGTGGTCGAAACGATGGTGGGGGCATGTGCAGACTTCTCACCGAGCGACTTTTTTCGCCGCCTCTTAGGAATGATTTTGATTTTGGCGTTGGCCTTCTTCTTGGAGGAAGCCTGTTGCGGTTCCTGCTTAGCCTGCAGTGGTCTGTTCCGAGACCTCAACCGCATCCTGATCGTTTCGTTGTCTTTCTCTTTGGCTTTTTTGACAACAGTAATCACCTGTGTGGCACCGACCGCGGCAGCAACCACTGTTGGAGCAGGGCTCGGCGATGGTGATGCACACTTCCGTCTTCTTTTTACTGGTATCTTGACGGTCTCGAAATGTGCAAACGCGTCGTCTAATAACTCGTCAAAAGCGAACGAATAGTCTTTCAGTGAATTCTTTCGTCTTAGCGACTGCCTAGGATTAAACTTTCCGGCTACTTCGATAGCTGCCGCGGCGGCGGCAGCAGATCTCCTAGACGTGTTTTCTGTATTTTTTGTCAGATTTTCTTTTTCCACCACTACTTTTTTCCGGGGGGTGGCTTCAGTTTTTTTACTCTCCTTCTTGTTGAAATCTTTTTTGTTGCCATGGTCTGGTTGTTGTTGATCTTTCTTGAGATCAAGTTTTTCTTCTTTCTTCAGTCCTTTCTTCTCTTCTTTTGCTACCGCTGCCAGCTCTTTCTTTTCTAATTTTTGAAGTTGTTCTTTCTTAACTGTGTCCTTATCTTTCTTTTCTGCCTTTTTAAGTTCTTTCTTTTCCTCCTTCTTCGATTCTTTTTTCAGCTCTTTCATTTTTAGCTCCTTTTTATGTTCTTTCTTTATTTTCTTGACTTTGGCAATCAATGGCTTTAAGAGTCGCTTTTTCTTTGGTTTAATTTTAACTGATTTTTCCTCGTGATCTTCTTTGTCTTTAGTGTCGTCCACTGTCTTTTCTGGATCCTCAATCTTTGTTTTATTTTCTTTGTCCATATCCAAAGGTTCTGCGTCTTTCTGCAAAATTTCTTCACAAATAACTTTTTCTGAAAGAGACTTTTCCGATTTCACTTCATCGGCTAATTTTGATGTATTTCGAACATCTGATGGTTTATTGTCTTTGTCGGTTTCGGTAATAGGTTCAACTTTTATTCGTTTTGTGTACTTTCTCTTGGGGGGCAGTGGTTGCAATTCTTTCACCGATTTCCTTTTGACTGGCGTTTTGACTTTTTTCTTTTCTTGGGTTTCGGCTAATTGTACCACAAATGAATTGCACGTGTTCGTCCAAAAGTCCTCGTCGTCTTCATCTTTTTCGGTTTCTTCCTTATTTAATAAACTCAGATCTGGTTCTTTGATGGGCGATGGTTCTCGTCTATAATAACAATTCAAACAGTTATATAACATATATAATATAAATACTAAGAAGTAATTGTGTGCAAAGTTTCGGTAATCAGATATTTGTACATTATAAACAAACTCTGAAAGTACTTGAAATATAATCAACGATGTCACAAATCAAACAATAATGTATAGACACGGAAATTTATGTAAATATATATTTCTGTAAGAACCTTACTTGATATCGAGCTTGAGATCTACAACCGCTTCAGTTTGTGTGAGCGGAGTCGGTTCTTGTTTTGCTTGAGGTGCGCCGTTATTTGATGGCAAAAATGGGTGAGGTGATATGGCCGTGGCAGCTGCCATCGGGCTGCTCATCCTCGTTGCACTAGATGACCCTTCTGCAGATATCTATACACAAAAAATATAAAGAAAAGGCCACATAAATACGATTGCATGTCATTCATCAATAAGCGCATGGCGATTACCAGCCGTAACACAAAAAAAAACAGAAAATATGGAATAAAAAAAGTTGATAGTAATATGGAATTTTTCAGACACAAATTTAAGTTTTAATGTTATACTTAGTCAATCGAGACCTTAATATCTATATCGTGACTAATGAAAGTCTTGACGAATCTATTCTAACACGGAAAATGATTTATTATTACAAATTTATCAAGGTTTGATGATACTATAAGCTATATTATCGCGTACGCGAACGCAATAATTGTTATAGAAGCAGTCATATTATAGTGAACGTTGGTATCTAAATATTTTCGCGATCACGAATAGAACGTTTATTTATTGAAACTCAAATAAACATTTTTTATTTTGATCTCAATATAAATGAAACTTGGACAACGAGATTTTTTGATAAGTCAATCTTTATTAGACTACTTATCTATAAGACACTCATTAATTAAATTAAGCCGTTATTCCTTATTGATAAAATGGTATGACGCATACTAAAAAGGTAATTTTATCTAGTGCGATTCAAAACGATTTCCTAAGGATATTTTCTACATTAATTGTAATGACGGACACACTAATGAAGAAACTAAAATATTTCCACAGTATCCAATTAAACTATTTATTTAGCCGAATAAGATAAAAGTGAGATCACATTTAACTCTGGCGATATTTGTAATTTTTGACAATATAATGATAGTAACACATAATTAATTGTTTAACGATCCACAATTCAATGTTATCAGTATTTTTTATTTAGAATAAAATATAATTTGGAATATTATGCACGTAAATGATATGAATTTATTTTTATTTTTATTTATTAAATTTTTTGTGGGTTCTTATACGATGGGACAAAGCGCAAGTTCAACGAACGGAAAATATTAAGACAATACCGAACAAGATCGATGAAGGCATACCTGTTTCCTCTCGGCTTTGGTCCGGATCCTCGGAGCATTGCAGTACGCCCTGTCCATGTAGTAGTCGATCTTCTTGGGGAACGGCGTTACGGCCGTGCGCTCAGCCATGTAATAGTCAGTTTTCTTGAGAGGTGTGGTCGAAGGTTCCTTCCGGATGGGCGTCGAAAACACCATGGCCGGCGTGGACGGCGCCTCGGCGATGTGCGGCCGGCTGCTCTGGTCGCGCGCCTCGATGTTCTGTTTGAGTATCTCCAACACGCGCTTGTCGGCCTGCGCGGGAACTTGTTGCGGAGGCGGCGGCGGCAGTGGCGGCGGAGGCTGCTGCTGCTGGTGCTGCATTGCGGTTGGCGGAATTGGATGCTGCAAACGCTGGTGGTGATACTGGTGCAGCGGATGAGGATGATGGTTCTTGGCCGAAGTGTACGAGTTAAACTTCTGTTCGATCTGCCTGTCTATGGCCGCCCGCCAAGCTTCGTCGGCTGACGACAGCGGTGGCACTTGATGGTTGCTGTTGTGTGGGTGGTGGTGTGTGCGCACTACCGGCGGCAGTGGAGTCGTCGGGGCGGCTGCCACTGATGGTAACGGTTGCTGCGGCGCAGACTGCACTACGACCACGGACGGCGGCGGCGGTAGCGGCGTCGGCGGCGGAAGGGAAAGCGAAATCTGAGCAGCGAACTGATGATGGTTGTAGGCGGCGGTGGCAGCGTTGTTGTGCTGTTGGTGCTGCTGGCCACCGACGACTACAACTGCGGTCTGCGGAGGCGCCGCCGTGGCCGACACCGGTAGAGACCTGTTGAAGTCCGGTTTGAAGTTCACTTTGGGTATATCGTGCCCGAATGGATTCAATCGGTCGTCGGTTGAGTCGGCCGACCGACACACTGTTTTCACAGACAGGTCCAACGGAGACTCGCGCTTCGTAGGCTCGAACCGCAACTTGGCCGTTTTGTTTTCTTGGCCCAATTTCACCGGCTGCGAAAAAAAAGACAAGGCGATATTATTATAAATGTTTCTATACTAGAAATTCATATACCGTTTGATTTCGAACAATGATATTAAAAAATAACTTGAAATTAATTTCGTATAATAATCGCGACTCAAGTATATTTTCTATACGAACATTATAATGTATTACAGCAGTAAAAATAATAAAGAGTATTATAAGTTAATCATAAAGTTAACTTTGTTTTTGTCTACTTCACATGTTATTTTGATATGAAGTAATTGTTCAAATACATATTTTGTATAAAAGTGATAGATGTTACATGTGTTTCATGGCTTTACAGCGGATAATATAAGCCATATTATATACTATCTATTATGATTCAATAATTATAATTTTAAAATTTACTAATATAAATCAAATATATTTTTTTTAATTGATCGTAAGCCCGGAAACTATGGCCATTAGTTATTTGTAGGTTTTTGTTGCAAGTTGCAATCGACGCCTTAGTCCACTTGGCCACTACGTCTCCTCAAAATTATATCATTACATAATATCGAATAGGTAAATAAATGTAATTAATTGTTGAATGTGCACTAGCAGTAAAGGTTAAAAAAAGTAAGCCTTTTTCACATTATGAACAACACAGTATTATTCATTCGAGTAACTACAGAAAAATGTATAAAGGTACAGAGGTACTATACATGTATTATTATTCGTTACAAGGAATACAGATGAGTAATTTCTGATAAAATCAAAGTTCAACAAAACATTAGTATGGTATTGACTAATAAGAAATACAACGTTTTGACGTTAAAATATACTAACTTTATAAAGGCACCTCAAACATCTTTGGCACAAATTTAAAAAACGTTGAGTGTTATTGGTTAATGTATTGAGTGATACCGAAAAGTTTAAATACATGTAAAATTTGGAATAGACGTCACACGAATATTAAAAAAGTCAACAGAAAGCGGCATCTCCTCCGAGTAGGCACCTATTTGTATTAAAGTATTATAATAAATATCAAACTTAATTTATAAGTATAATTATAATATGTGAGTATAACATCGGTTTTGATACTCCAAGGGAGAATTACAATTGAAAAACCCGTGAATCGTTAAATTATTTATTTGTTTTATTATCGATATTATATTTTAGTAAAAATGAAAAATTCAAACAACAAAATACCAACATATGGGATGATATGATATTCTAGAATTTCTTGCGAAGACGGATTATCGGCAATCGAAACATACGAAATGATTATGTTATTTTTTTTATAGCTACAAGTGATAATGAAACAAAAAACTGAATAATGTATATTTAATATCGCCGTCATGCAAAATGTGATCATATGAAAATTATTATGATTTTATTTTGTAATACCCGATTCACAATTGTTTTGTTATTTTCATGATTTGTGTATGTCTAGACCACAGCAAAGTTTCCAACGGGCAAAAAGGAAAACAAAACAAAATTATGATAATTTTTACTAGATCTATCTTTATATGACGGCGACGATATATGTAGTACTCTTCAACAGTTTTACCTTTATGGTCGGAAAACATATTATAGATATTAGATAGTAGGTAATTCAGCCGCAGAAGTTATCCCAAAAATGATTATATTTTCAAACTTAGTAATGCGATAGTCTTTTACATGGAAGATCGTTCATAAAACATCTATACAAAATGGATTTAGATCCTGATTGCCTAGTTTTACAGTATACCCTAGTTGTAGGTATGTGTTACAAGTGAATAAATAATAATATATACTTCTATTGGAATAATAATAAATCTACAAAACATAGACTACATATTTTATTGCTAATTAATATTAAAACGTTAAAAATGAATAAAATGTATGTTTATATTTTAACAATATTAATTCGACTAGTTTATGTATACATCTGTTTGAATAAAATATTTGAGGGTGTTAGCTAACCATTGAAACTAAATTTAAAATTACTAGTAGTTTAATTTTATGTTACTGATCCAGCGAACTATACGTATTATATTTATAGTATTAGCACAACTAATTAATTCGGAATAGTGGGAGGGGCTGGGGAAATGTACGTGGTTATATAACAATTTTATAACTGTCTAAAACACAACCTAAAAGGGTATATTAATATTATACAAAATAATTTCAAGTGGAAAAAATATATGTTTCATACGTGTACATTGTATTAGTGAGTTAATTTTACCGCATCGAAAAGGATCCCCGAATATTCGCTAGTTTAATTGAATATTATATTATTATTATTATACAACCTTTGAAAACCATCGAGAAACTGAACGGGGAGGGAGTAGTCGCCTTTTGAAAGTGGTCGTTATAATTATAAATGTAAAACACCCTTTACATAATAGAATACTATAGTAATATTTCACCGATATTCAGAATTATATTATTATATAAATAACCGCATAGCGTGTTTTTGATCAACCAACGTCACCTCAGACGCGTACCACACACAATATTATAATATGTACTACACAAATACACAAAAGGCGCCATAAATAAACACGTAATAAATTTTCGTTTACCGAGTGGAGATTCGCATTGATTTGGGATCAAAAAAATTACAGAACGTATTTTTTTATTTTAACAGTGGTGGTGATGGTAGAGCGGAGGCAAGGCGCTCATTCAAACGATCAAAGTCTACGCTGTAATTGTGCGGTCAGCGTCTAGCGCGTGGCGGGAATATAATTTTTTTCTCGCCTCATCCAAGGTTAGGTTGGGTGTAGGTGGGACGTGTAAAAAAAATTCATTGGATAAACTTCGACCTAATCTCAAATTACGACATCAATAAATATTATTATACCAGCTCATTCATTGTTTCCAAGCGCGATTGACCTATAGTACACTTAAAACGGTCGTCGGTCGGGCCTCGGACCAACCCCGCGCGTGAGCAAATATGAAACATTTACAATAATGGTACATCCTAAAATAAGATAAATCAGTTAGTATCCAATAATTTTAATGTCAGTAATTTAAAGAAAAAAAGGACAATATTTAAATTTTCGTAGAACATTGCATGGAAGAGTATTTACAATGCGAATAAATAAACCAGGACTGAGAAAAACAATTGCTCTTGAATTTTAAACATTTTTAAGGTTTCTGCATTCGTGAGAATAAATACATACATCAATACATCACAATGCCGTTGTATTAAAATACAAAAAAAAACAAATATAAATATTTATTATTCATTTTCAAAAATCATTTAAAATATATCGGCATTCCTGCCACGATGCTTATATTATATAAGACTTATTATAAGATGCTTATAATAATAAGCAACTGTCAGTTGGAAATTAAACAAGAATAACAATAACACGGCATCACATATGATTAATTATCAAAAATGTATCATTAACCGCTATTCCACAAATTTGTACGCAACACAATGACACATCGGTAGATGGGAGAATGGGCCAATTTCAGTACTTGTAATTTGAATCTAGGAAAAAAAATCCTCGGAATAAAAACCCCCGGAAAATAAATCCACAGGAAAAAAAATCCCCCAAGATATACCTAACTGTTCTAAAATAATAATAATAATATACGATAATTTAAAAAAAATATAAAATTTGAATGATAACTATTATAATATTATCTTGATCACACAGCTAGATTACGCAAAAATTAAAAATAATTATGATAATAATGAACAAATCACATTGCGTATAAAATAAAAATAATATCTATTTACCTATATAATAAAAAGGTAATCAGTCCTCTTGAGTATGTTATTACTCACAGAGTCACAGCCGTCAAAAATGTCCCAAAGTAAATTTTGCAAACCTTACAAAGCAAACTTTGGGGATTTTTTTTCCGAATACCTGTAATTTACACTATACCAATAGGTACACTTAAGTTAAATCTGAGACTAAAATATAAAAAAAACCGACATGTAATTTGAGCCACATCTGAATATTAATGTAGACAATCTGCACCAAGACAGAAAATAAATGGCATAATATATTATCTGCACGTGATAAGGCATTATTACAAATAGGTAGCGTACTTTTTTTTTTAGTTTATGTACATTTCAATAATTTTCTTGAAATGTATTTATTAAAATAATAAAATTAACTTGATTGATGAATAATTTAAAAAAAAATAAATATTAGTTTTTAAAAAAAGAAGGGCAAGAGAGTTCCACTCGGATACAATAGCATGTGTCTTGACTCTTGAGGAATCGTTGTAATAGATGTGTTAAATTTGAATTCAATAATACAAACACTCAGAATTGGCCACACCCACCTTACACATTCCCACTTAATGAAGAAGGAAGACCCCCCAGTTTGCACATGCTGCGGAACACTCCTTACTGTGAAACACATCTTAACCGAATGCAAAGTATATGACAAAGAAAGAAGGCTGTATCAAATATCCAACCACCTCGCCGAAGCTCTCAACCAGGACCCCAGCAATATACACAAGATCATACAATTTCTCAAACAAACGAATCTCATAAACAAACTGTAAATTGTAAATAATTAACCTCTTTCCTAATTATTACTACTCTGTCTTGTTTTAAATATTAAATTACTTTATATACCTTTTAAATATTAATGTAATATGTAAATATACTTAAAGATAATATTGTACTGTTACATTCAATGGCCATAGACGCCGCGGATAGTTATTTAATAAAAAAAAAAAAAAAATACAAACACATTGCATATGAAAAACGGTTCGGAACGAAGACCGTTTTTTCAGACTATAAGTTACTTAGTATGTTTTATGATATTATTGCTGTTTAAGTAATTTATTTTACTATTAGACAATAGTAATCAAGTATAATGAATAAATTATTTCCGAAGAAAACAGCATTTGAAAAACTTATTGTGTGTATAGTAAACTTTAAATGTTTGAAGTTACCACGAATAGCTATGTATCAATTAATATTTTTCAACTGATATGACTGTTTAATGAAATATAATATTATCGAAAATAATGATTATGACAATAATATAAGTATGAAAAAAAAATATTTAATAAGCAAAATGAAAGAGGC